TTATTTGTCAGTTCAGCTTGGTTTTATTTGTGCCTGTGTACCTATAAAGGCTGAACAGAGACCTGTCAGTGTTCACAGAACAGGTAGACCTAGAGAGTCAAAAATGTGTAAATATAAGGGTGATGGTAACAGTACTGGTAGTCAGGGAAGAGTTTTTTTCAGTAGAGATGCTCTTACTACTTTGGATGGCAAGTATAAAATTTAAAATTCTTTTACTTATGACTGCATAACATCTAGTTCCTGAAATAATTACTTTGACATACCTTACTGCAGATTTTTTTAGAGCTCACCTGAGAGTATGACATTCTGTTAAACATGGAAAGGGCCCTAAGTTACAATTCTGATGCTGTAATTTAATCTGATACTTTTATCCTTTTCTTACCCTTGATGTGTCCTTCCTATTAATTTCCTACCCCTTCTCTTTGAAATCTCCTTTTTGAGAATTTGGGGTATTTGGTTGAGGATTCATGGATGCCCATCCATGCATTGTTGTCTCATGTGCAGTAAATTTAGTGTGTTCCAGCTGTTTTGGAATTTATTGTGCAAGACCCTGACTCAAAAAGAGGTACTGAACACCTCAGACAAATAACCTCTCAGTTGGTGATGACTGTGTGATCACACAAGCTCTAACCTGCCAGGCTTGTCCCTTGGTGTGTGCCGTGCAGCCACCAGTAGGTCCCCTCTCCGTCCACAGACAGGAGAGCTGGGAGATAGGGTCTCTGGGGATAGAAGCAGGACTATTCACCTCCACAGTGGGGTGGAGAAGGGCTACTGCAGAGGCACAAGTTGTGGGGATGAGGAGAGAATAAATGTGGGTATTAGATGCCAGCCCTAGCCTTCCCTGCACAAACTGCAGTGTAAAGCATTAGTATGATGATGTCTTAAGAGGTCCACCCCTATTTCAGGGGCTCACCCTTTTGTGAGCTTTGATTACAGGATGGGGAAAGGAGGAAGAAAAAAGAATAAATCATTAAACATGTAGCACTATTAAGCAAGGCTTTAATTTGTAGCAGTGGCTTCTATTCCTGTTATTCCTGTGCCTTCAGCATCTGAAAACTATTTTTAAAAAATCTATTTTGTGACATCTGCATCTGACAGTGATACTGAAGGTCAGCCCACTGCTGTGCAGAAGGAATGCCAGAATACAGAGATTGTTTCTGGTGACTGCAGTGCCACCTCAATGGCAATAGGGGGAAAAGAAAGAATAATTCGGAGGGGAGAAAAGCAGATTGTGTCTGGTGCTGCCTGACTTGCAACTTCGGTGGTGGAGAGAGGCAGGAAGTGCAGTCCTGCCAGGAAGGCTCAGGCTGGCTGAGCAGGGAGGCCAGGCTGTCCCAGCCGTGCTGCAGTTGTGCTGCAAAAGCCGCAACCTTGGCAAGCTGAACCAGGCATAAGCAGAAGGTAGAAGGAAATAAAAGAAGGTGGCAAAGTCATAGGAGGATGGGTGCTGGGCTGCTGGGAAAGTTTCCAGCATTACATCCCAGGCAAACCTTTCAAGTTGTTTGCCTCCCAGGCTTTGACAAATCCCTTGTGTTGTATCACAAGCTTTGGGAAAAAGCATCTGCTCTGCTGGATCATAAGATGAGGGAGTGACCATGGCTCACGGCTGTGGCTGGTGGGGAGGAACTGGGACCTAGCAGAGCTTCTTTTGGGGCACACATGCTCTCTGGCTACAAACCCACAGTGGGAGGAAGCTCTTGCTTTTCTCAGAGGGTGTGAGCTACAGCCTGGACTACTGGAGGATGTGGAGTGAGGACTGGAAGTTGCACTTGCTCTCTGGAAGCTGCTGGGTCTGCATGGGTTCACAACTGCAGCAGTGAAAGGTAAAGGCCACCGGCTCATAAGGGAGACTTAGGCCCCTTGATTCCTGGTTGTGGGCATGGCTCCACAATGACAAAACTTTGCTGTTTCACCCCACTTGCTCTCCTGGCACCAGGGTTGTATTAGGGATGTGTGGAGCTGTGTGATCGCTGTAACAGCACATCCTATGCTATATTTGTGTTCCTAATCTAATCCTCATTTCCAGCATGTTGGCTTTGGGTAATTGATTTCTGGTCTCTCACATCTCTTACTTTTCAGTCAGCCTTAATTGCCAGGACTGTATTAGCTGGTCATTTAGTTTGAACTAACCCAATATTTTTTTTTCTGCTGACCTTAAAATCTCTTGTACAGCAGGGTGAGCTAGACTACTCTCATTCAGTCAGTTTATAGTATAGGCTTCAGTGCAGACCATTAGTCTTAACTTGGAGTGTTTGAATGACTTATTTAATATTATCAATATCTACCTATGACCTGTAAGTTAACTTTGAGGGTTTTTTTGTAGCTTAATAATCATGGCCTCCCTAAGAATATGAATTCAGGTTGTGTTTGCAACGAGAAACAATAAGTTATTCAAAACCCAGGACATTTACAGGGGATGACAAGAGAAGCTAGATCAGTCTTCCACGGCACTACAAAGATGGCATGTACTATGTATTTTCTTCTCCAGAACTTTCTTCAGTGGTCAGCAGTGACACAGATAAGTCAACAGCAACAATGAAATGCAGCAATTTTCTGAGGAAAAGTAGCCTATTCTTTTTAAAATAAAAACAGAAAAACAACAAACAAAACAAAGCATATAATGACCACCCCCACCCCCATCTCCCAGCACAAAAGACATGCACATACAATAAACCTATTTGAATGAGTCTGGTTGTAACTGCTATGGGGGTAAAGTGCAAGATTGAATCAATTTCCTCTTCACTAAGGAGAAGGAACCCACGTATCAACACATAACAAGAAAAATCTCAGAGAAACGCTATGCCTTTTGTCTCAACTTCCTTGCCACAGTACCACATTTTTGTTCTGTTGAAGGAGCAGGATAATTTGTGGAGTATCAGCTCATTGTCAGCAGGCAACTTTCAGAGTTAATTTTAAGAGAACAGCACTTTGAAGGTATCTCTCTTTTGGAAGTGTATTTCCCTATCAGAGTGGCTGCAGCTGTGGCTCCAGCAGTCTCCTTTGGCCATGAGGTATGTTATGGGATCAGTTCAGAGGGGTACATAGTCCTTACTGCTGACCATAAATGGAAATAGTAATTTGAGTGATATTGGTCATTCTGTTTCAGTGTATGTAAATGCAGTGTTAGAAATGAGCAAGCAACTAAATTGTGCCTGCACGCTTCTGTCCGACAGTCTTCAGTTCTGGGGGTGCCGCTCCTGAACTTTATCACTTGATTTTTGTTATAAATGTCTTGTTCCACTGGCAGAAATAAAAAAGGCCTTGGATCTTCTTGTGGGAGTGAAACCTTTTGCTTGTCCTTTGCAATACGGATTCCTCAGACAGTTTGAAAAGAAAACCAGAAACCTCCCCGAACCAAAGAATAAAAAAACTATGTCTCCAAAAACATGCCTGAAATCTCTGGCCTTCTTTTAAACTGTGAATCCTGCTGTCCAGATGCCTGCTGCTCTTAAATATTGGAGCTAAAATGAAACATACCTTGTGCTCTCTCTTTGATTGAGTTCAGCACATGTTAAGGGAGTTAGAGGGGCAGTATTTTGGCACAGGCACCCCAAGCCCTGATACATGTACACACGCTGCCTGATGTTTCATTTCAGGTTATAAACTGGATTACAACATGCCTTCACCCTGTGGCATATTGTCCAGGGAAACCAGGCTGGATCTGTCTGATGCATAAAATGATCCGGCTAAATGATCATTAAGTGGAAAGTAAAGGATGTGTACAGAATTTGTATTTTCAACAGGAATTTAGATTACATTTCAGTCACTTTAAATGATTTTTAATACTATTTAACTCATCAATTCAAGAGTGGAATAAAATGGAAACCGTACTTAAAGAGCTTGGGACAACATTTTAAACTTCTAAAATAGCTGTATCTGTCCTAATTAAGTCGGGTGGCAAAGAGAGTATTTAAGCCCCATGTGTTTTCTTATTGATGCAAATGGTGCTTTGTGTTCTTTTATTTGTGGGAAGCTTTGTTAGCCTCAGTTAGCTGAAATACTTGCATATGATTTGGTTTTTTCAAAAGAAAAGATACACTATATTTAGAGATGCAAATACTACCTTGTCTGCAAAACCCACCAGCTGTTATACTGGAAGACAAAGCTAATTCTATGTTGCTTTACTTCAGTAGTGTCTGCGTATTCACAAACAGCTTTTTAACAACCTTCCCTGTTAGCTGAAAAATGGCAGGCACAATTTTTTTTTATTTCTTTGGTAACAGCCTAGTAAAATCAGAGTTGATCTGTGAAATTTTAAAAAATGTAAGCAAGTAAATAGATTAACTATGATAATAATAATATACATTTTCATTAATGTTTATAGAAAAGTTGAACAGTCTGTTAGCTTTGATTCTCAAATTCCTTGAATATGAGCTTACTACTTGCTGCCTTGAATATTTGACTTGAGACTGAGTCAGGTCAAATATATGGCTCTGTAATAGAAGCTGCTGCTGGTTTGTGTGTCAGTAGCACACTTTTCCGGAGAGGCTCTTTGCTTCTGCTTTAAACATCTGGAGAGAGACTAAGAGCGTTTGTGGGGTCTTTTGTTGCTTCTTAAAGTTGGAGCAGGGAAGAATTACTTTCCAAGAAATACCCAGAATCCTGGAAAAATCCGAGTGAAATCATTAAATTTTAAACTTTATCTTCTTTATAAACGAAAGTGCTTTCGTTTTATCTCTGGCAGCTGTCCTGGTAATGGGTGTTATGTAATACTTACTCTCTCCTTCGGAGTTAAATCCTTTTTCCGATTTGTGAGTAGTATTTGCATATGTATTTCTTAGCTGCATTGACATGCCAGATGCACAGTGGTAGCTGTCTCCGCCCGCTAATCCTGTAATAACATTCTGGTGACCAAATTCAATGGCCGTGCGCGGAGCCTCGGAACAGCTGATTGCTGAGTAGGGAGGAAAAAAAAGAGCCCAGCGAATCTGGTTGCAGCTCTCTGCTGCATCCCCATCCCACAATCCCTTGCACCATTTGCTGCAGTCTTTCTACACAGGCTGAGTGAGAAAAAGATGTGCTAAATAAAGATTGATTGGTTTGAATCCTGAAGGGGTCTCCCACTTGTAAATGACCCAGGGAGAAAAAAAAAATTCATGACGACTTCACTGGGCCTCCTCTTATTCTTCCATTTTTCTTTCCACCTGTCCTCTTCATGGAATAGAGCGTCATTCCTTAGAGCACAAAATCTCTTGTGCATCTAATAATGATTGTGCTGTGATAGGGACTCCTTAGCAGTCTTAAGCGTGAGGCTTGAAATATTAACAGATGATGGTTTGTTCGTTTGGATTACTGCGGAACTGCAGCTCCGTCCCTGCAAGGATTTTATCCTCAGCACTGCACTGATTAAGCTATTTTTCTACAAAGATGGGTAGGTCTGAAATGCTCAAGTTTGCTCAGTGTTATTCCTGGTGGCTGCTGCTGGGTTGCTCCTGCTTTGGCCCCTGATTGTTCATTACATTTCTGCATGCTGTAAGAATGAAGAGGGTTGCTGTGTTTTAAACAAGGCACTAAGCTGATTGCAAGAGTGGGAGAGAAAGGAATGCAAATTTAGCTTATCAAGCCTTTTACACAAGTGGACTGTGTGGTGGTTCTGATTATTAATTTGCTCAGTGTATTCTGTATTGGCTAATCTGGGGGCTGCTGCTAGAAATAGCTTGAATCTGTTCTTTATTCCTACAGACTGTGGACAGGTGATCTATCTGTTTTAAGGACTTTAAAGCCTCCGCTCTCCCAGTCCTTGAAGCAACATTATTGAGGTTCCCCACCCTTTCTTATGGCTCTGGAGGCCTAACTGTTCCTTTGGAAACGTTGCCATTGGAAACCTATTCATTCATAGTACATGAATAGACCCTGTAGGTTGTGAATACCATTGATAAGAAGAGGATGAATAAGCTGTAAGCAATTTGTTCTCCTCAGGCTGTACTTTCAAGCTAGTTGCAGCTCTGGCTGGGTGGATTTCAGAGACAGCAGTGTATTGTAACACAAAATTCTGCTCTTTTAGGAATAAAATCCTGTGAAGTGAACAGTTACTTGATTCCTCAATGTCTTTTCTCGGCTGGGAAACTAATAGAGAATTTTCAGGAGTTCCAGAGCTCATTTGAGGATACTCTAGAAAGGATGCATTTTTCTGTTACATGTCTCTATTTGCCTGAAACAACTCTTCTGGAACTGTTATTTGCTATACCGACCGTGATTTTTTTCTTTTCCTCCTTTTCCAGTGCTATAGGAAGTTCCTTTCATATGGGTGGGGCCGCACCCTGGCTTTCCTGAAGGCATGCATGCATAGCGGGGCAAAGCTTTCCACTAGCTTTGAGAGCCATTGTTTTTTCCTTTCTTTGCTGTCCAGTATATTTTAAATGAAAATCGTATCTCCAAGCAGAAGGAAAAAGAGTGATGCTGTTTTTGGGGGGTGCTGGGAAGATAGCGATCCTTGAGCCTCAAAAGGGCGACAAAGGGAGTAAATTTCAGAACCCTTTACTGCGCTTGGTTTTCCGAACCCGAATTTGGTTTTGAGTGTGTGTGTGTGTGTGACAGATAAATGGGTGGGGGCTTATGTCTTGTTTGGTGCAATGTTTCCTAGTGCTTTAGCTTTGCATATTTAAATTAAAGAGTGTAACTACATGGAAAAGTAATAGCCCCGTTTTTGAAGCTCATGCTTTAGCTGCTCTATTTTGATTGTGAGACATAATGAACCTCTGAAAAGCACTCTGGCAGTTTTTGAGCTCAGAAGATGCTACTTTAAAAAAACCCCATTTTTCATGTTTTCATGTAGTGTTACTTTGCAAAATCTCACACTGCTAATACATTTAAAACTTACATTGCTGCAAGCATAGCAGTAAATCAGAAAAAATACTGTTGGATGAAATTCAAAAACGTTGTCTAAAATCTTCAGATTTTCTTCAAAGACTCTTTGATTGTACAGTTGCTTTCATTGAGTGAATGAGCAAAATTATCCTTCTCATAGCTACATCACATTCATCAAGATTACATCAAAGGTGGAATTGCCTTAGAAAGGCTGCCTTAGAGAGGCTGTATTAGCTGGTCGTTTAGTTTGAACTAACCCAATATTTTTTTTTCTGCCGACCTTAAAATCTCCTGCAAATCCCATACTCAAAAGATTTTTTTAAAGGGACTTTTAGTGTGAGAAGTTGTACCAGGTAGTGACCAAAGCTTGAAATGTACAGATGAAATTCTGTTTCCAGGTGCATGTTTTAAATCTGATTTATGTGAACACAGGGGATAAATGACAGTCATAGCCTGCTGCATTTCAGACAAATACAGAGTATTAAAAGCACTTATTTCTGAATCATTAATGGTTTCTTTTGTTGACAAAGCTTAAAGGATGAGCATTTGAAAAATAAAGTAGCTGGCATGAGATTTGTCTATGAAATGCTAAGAATTACTTGATTTTGTGGTGACATTGGAAGAATGTGAAAAACTAAGATGAAAACCAGGTTAAATCAGCATTATTTTTTTTCAGCCAGCAGCAGATTTTCTTGTGTAACCACTATGTGCTGTTGTAGCTTTACTTGATAAGGGAAAGATGAAGTACAGAAAATACCTGGCTGCTAGAGAACTTTCTTCTGTTAAATGACAGGCAGCATTCGCTGGAGACCTATTCTTTCATATCTTAAGTACAGCTTTTTCCAGTAGTTTATGTTCAGTCTATAACAAAAAAATTATACTGTTGGTGTGTCCAATGTGGAAACCATGCTTTTGATAAGAAATCCTCCTGCTTCTGATTATCTTCCCTGTTTTATTTGAGTCCCTGCCTCTAACATTTGGGGAGGGAGGGTGGGAGGCAAACACAGCTGTGCGAGTGGTAGAATGAATTTTCCTTTTGAAACATGTCGCTGATGTTCTGCATGTTAAGCTGCCAAATGTATGAATACGTTAATGGGAATTTTATTATCTGGTCTTTCTACTCTGTTTTGTAAAAGCCAGATATTTTGGTTCCATTTCTTGTAAAGCCACCTTTAACTCAAGCTTTTTAAAAGTAATGTGGTTTGCTAATTGATCTCCTAAGGTTAATTCTCTGTGATTTTTGGCATTTAAATAGGAAAAAATAATTTGTGTTTATGTAATACATTTTATCTTACTATAGGGATTTTTTTTTAATATTAAAAAATATGTAAAAGACGTGCTAATATTATCAATCCTGAAATCATGCATTTTTGGGTCATGAGTAAACGTGATATTTTATGAGTACTAGAGCAATTTTTATAATTGCAGTTTCCCCTTCCCCGGTATAAAAGGAAACAAAAGGACCTGCCATAAGTGTTTTCCATTGAATGAAATGTCAGTTACTGCTGTTGGGTATTTGAACTGTGAATAACTTCATGCTGCTGAATTTGCTAACACCGAGGCGATGCCCCAGGAACTTGTTATCAGGGAAGCCAGCAGAGCTGACTTATGATCCATAATCACTGTCATTATCCTAGAAATAGCCCCTTGCTCAGTGTAGTAAGTAAAACATAGCAGTATGGCTAAGTACACAGCTCAGGACGAGCAGCATGGGTTCAACTCTGACAGTCTAGTGTGCTGTTCGTTCAAGCACAGGAAGAAGACCTAATGTAACACTAACAATAAAATGCTACAGAGGTCATGCAAAGCATTCTGCTTTGCATGACCTTTGAACATGATCAGCAGAGGGCTTGTTGTTTCTGTCTTGGAAATCCTGAACTGCCCTCAAGCTAGATCTCAAATTGTCTGAAATGGGTGAGTAAAAAGGGGTAGAAATTGTTCAGGAAGCAGTTAGACCCCTCAGGAGTGTACCTGCAGAGAAGGCCGGCTGGGCTGCAGCTCAGAGAGAAGAGGAGCCGGTTCCGCTGTGGGTGCGGGAGGTCTGGCAGAGCTCGGTGCTGCGGCACTCGCGCCTGCACCTCCTGGCACTTCAGCCTGCTAGAAATGCTGATGGACAGCAGTTCCTGCTGGGCCACCCTGCCAGGGACGCTGCTTGCCAGGCTTCCCTAAACTATTTTAGCAGACAGTTTACTTTTTTCTGTGGTTGCTCCCATCCTTTTCCTCCTGTCTTCTCTTTTCATAATTTATTCTATTATTGGCTATAATCTGTATCTCCAGCTGAAAAGAACCTACGTTTTTCTCTCCCTGTGCCTTGTTCCAGGACAGGAGGCGTTCCAAGCCTGCTGCCATCTCTTTAACCTGCGATTTTAATTCTAACAGTTAGTAGACTTTTTTCTTAGCCTTTTATTTCATGCTTTATGTGCCAGATTATGAAGAATCCTCAGTCCTAGAAACATGATTCTTACTACTAGTTCTGCCTAGAATGACATTTTTATTGCATTTATTATTTGGATGTGCTTCACCCTGCTATTGCTGATTCTCAGTGGCTATCAGTTGCCTCTTCTTTGCTCTTTTATCATGAGGATTTTCATTGTGTCTACCTCATCCCTACTGGTGATGCAGAATTTAAGCATTTCTTCCCAGGGGCTGTCTGGTTCAGAGGCTTCCTGTAGTCAAAATCTACGATATTTTTGGCAATACCAGCACCGACAAGGGAAAAAATTGTTAGGTGAACAATTTTCAAACTCTGTCTGTGATGCAGCCATTTGACTGGCTGGTGCAGTTCCAGTTTGAGCATTTTGCCAGCAGTACTGTAGACGTAAGAAATCCGATGTTTGTTAGCGCTGGCTGAACCTATTGGCACAAGAATGTTTTCATCATGGGTTTTCTTTAAAACCAGACAGTCCCGTAACTCTTTCAGTCCAGAGGCAGCATGCCTTTCCAGAATGCTGAGGCAAAGGTGTTGTAGATGTTGCTGACTGTTTGCCTGGCTGTCATCAGTGATAATCCATTTTAGAAGTTTAATTCTTTCTTGTTTTGGTTTTATATGGAAGTATGAATTCCTGCATAAGGATAAAACATGAGTGGAATTGTCAAAGATTTTGTTATTTCATTGAGTTTATAAGCCGTTTTTCTTATTTTTTTTCTTTTCTTCTTTACTTCTTTTTCCCACCCTGCTCCAGCAGTGTGCAGGGTAGAAGGGAACAGGACCCACATGTCAGTGGTCTAGGATGGCCAGTGAAGGCTCCAACATCCCAAGTCCTGTGGTCCGTCAGATTGACAAGCAGTTTCTGATTTGCAGCATATGCCTGGACCGTTACAAGAACCCCAAAGTACTTCCCTGCCTGCACACTTTCTGTGAGAGGTAAGTCCTTTCCTCAGGCTGGTAACTCAGGATTTGTGTCATGCTGCAAGCACAGGACAAGGCATCCTTTAGTGGAACGGGACTTTCCCCTTTACTTGTACATGTCCTGTTAAGGCATGATAAAGTCTGGGAAGGCTGGAGAGGAAGAGATGTAGAAAAACATATTTGTGTCATGCAGGAAGAAGAGACAGCAGTGGCATATTTGGAATACATTCCCTTTATGCAAGAGTAAACAAAAAGTAAATCCAATTAAACTAATGAATATGGTTACTACAGTGTGAAAGGTGATGATAGCCAGAATTTGGACCTCAAGTTAATGGTCTCAAATTTATTCTGATTATCGTGTAATTAGAAGCAAGAAAAAAAATATTTGTTGATTTACTAAGTCAATAAGTAATTATCCCATCCTTTTAATGTCCAAGAGTTTTACATGATATATACATTATTAATAACCCGAGATTAAATGTCTTCATTATTCTGCAGTTTGGTTGACTGAAGTGGGAAAACTCTCTGGAAAGAGATGTGATAAACCAACCTGCCTTTTACTGTCTTTGGCTGAATGAACTGCATATGCATAATGATACTTTAACGTTGCATTATCCATCAAATTGTGAAAAATACAGGCCTGCAGAAAAGTTTGGTGAAGAATCAATGGTTAGTTCTTAATCTGATGATGAGATGCAACTCTGGATTGTATATTGAATGGCAGTAGAATGTTTATAAATGGTATATAGCGGTGTGAACACATTTAATTTAGGAGATTTCCACCTTTTAGGAAGAATTGTGGTGTGAATCTCTAATTTTGCACAGGGTGAAAGAAAAATTTTGGATCTCTGCCTGTGTCAGATGAACCGATCTTTTGTAGAACAATAGGAAATACCAGCATTAAAAAAGGCTGCACTGAAACTCTTACTGAAGTCAGTGAGACAAGATTTTCACCATCATGTGTTAAGTTTCCTGACTTCTGTTCATGTGTAAAGCCTAAGGTTAGCTTCTGGTTTTCACTGTAATCCTCTTAGGCTGATCTGGTTATGGAGAGAAGCTGGAAGAACTCTTCCAGTGAAGTGTTGATGTGCAAAGTCTAAGCTCTCCTTTCATGGAGCCCTTACTGGGGGGTCAGGAGGAGGGCTGCCAGGGGAAGATGAAGAGTGGTGCAACCAAAACCCTTGTAAAGGGCTTGTGGAGCTGTGTGAGGTCACACTTTCTCAGCTGGCATCTCATGAGGAATTTGGTGTAGCACTGCTCCCCTTAAGAACTGCATTCTGCAAAGCCTCTTCTGCTTACAGGACCATATTGAATATAGGATATTGCATGCAACTGTATATTGCATGCCCAGGCAGGTGTTAACTTTATTTCCAAAGCCAAAAGTGGCCTTAAGTCTCACCTGGGCCAGCCTGATGCATATTGTGCATATTGTTGATTGCTGAACTTTTGTGTCAGATTTATACTCTGTGAAATTTATTTTTTCTGAAAAACATCAACACTGCCCTCCCAATCAAACACAAACAAAAATTTCCTCCAAAACTCCCCTTAACATAAACTGTGATAACATAGCAGGTAGTTCCCCATGTCATAAAGAAAGCTCTGTTGATTTTGGGTAGCTGCCAAATAACTTTCCAAATTGAAATACATGAAAAAATTTCCTTTGATTTTATTGGGACTATGTTTTACCTCTGAAACACTAAACCCACAAACACAAGTTATTAAAGGAGATTCTGTTGGAAAGACAAGGGTCAAGCATCAATTAGTCAGTTAAAGGCACAGGCTCAAATACTTGATGCAACTTCATGTCTGTCAGACTTTATCAGATAAATTCAAAATTTTTACTGCATAAAACATCCTGTGAGCAGCATGCAGTAGGCATCTGAAAGCATGATCAACTGCATGAATATCCCAAAAAAGGCATGTAACTCTTTTAATGATGTCTGCTTATTGAACCTTTTTTTTTCATGTGGCAGAGTAAAAAAACGTTTAAATGAAAAATTATTCCCCATAATCACTTTTGCTTCAGAAGCCTGTTTGATGTACTTTTATAAGTAGGGGTAGCACTATTTCAAACCAGCTCTTTAACTGATGAAAGGGCTTTTTTCCCTCTTTGATGATACTTTCCCTTTCTTTCTCCTTCCACCTTCCTTCCCCATAGGTGTTTACAGAATTACATTCCAGCCCATAGCTTAACCCTTTCTTGCCCCGTGTGCCGCCAGACCTCCATTCTGCCAGAGAAAGGGGTTTCTGCACTCCAGAACAACTTCTTTATCACCAACCTGATGGATGTCCTGCAGCGAACGCCGGACAACAGCATTGAGGAGTCCTCCATCTTGGAGACTGTCACTGCTGTTGCTGCAGGCAAACCACTCTCCTGCCCCAATCATGATGGAAATGTAAGTGAGACAGCCGCCTGTGCTGTGTGCAGGCATTGATATGTGCTGACTTGTCTGTGTTTCATGGGTGTCTTTTTCTAAAGAGAAAGCAGGGGAAGTAAATCATACTATTTCTTTGATTTTATAATATATCAGCAAAACACAATTGATTCTTCAAATTAACTCAAATGTTTTCAGTGGAGCATCTTGAAGTAGTCAGGATGTTATTTTATCTTACCAGTCATCTGGGATGATGATGTCTTTTGGCACATTTGGTCAGAATTATTGTCCTGCAAGTACTGAACCTTGTGCCTTTACTTCTTTGGGTTGGGTTTCCTTAGCCCTTGTAGCATCAGCTGTTGCTGTGGCTAGCTGTGTGTTTGTCTGGCAATATGTGACAAGGACCTTATGAGTTTTACTGACCTGCACGCTAGGGCAGTACCAAAAGATATGTGAACATATTAACACAGAACCAAATAAAAGTGATTCCTAGCTCAAATAAAAGTGATTCCTAGCGTAGGACGCTTTGGATCAGCACAGGCTAGAAACAGAGCACTTCTGTTTATCTGCAGTGTTTTGTGGATCTCTCATATCAGTTCTTGGAGGCTGCTTTGTTTTTTCCTTTTGCCTACTCTTTTTACCTAGCATGTCCTCAACCACATCCTCAAATCATATCAGTATATTCATTGGCAAGTGCCCCCAACTGAGTTAACTCTGCTTACTTCACAATTTTCAGTGTTAACCTGTGTAACTTCATGATAGGCATATGAGCTCCTGACTCATAGGTTAACTTATGCAAATATGTAAATAGAGACTGCAAAACTCAGAAATGCTGTATTGTAAACTGAATGTTGTGCTTCTATGCAAGCTAAGAAACATGCCAGTAGTTTAAGACAACTTTCTGGGGACTGTGTTATTTGATACTCAGTGTAGGTACATTGGTTGTGTAGGAGTAATTCAGCTGATGGGTAGTGATTACTGTAATAGAGGAATAGCTCAGTTCCTTCTCTCTTGGAATTAGGTGGACTTGTAGAACTGATGTTGGACTCTGATTAATGAATAACTGGTGTAACTTTTAAAAATATGTACTATACTAATGTGTGTGTAGTGGTTACTGATTAATGCATTCCTAGTTTTTGTTTGCATTTTATTTGCCCTCTTTAGAATGAATCATAGTTGTTTTCTGACATGGCCATTTTGATAGGAGCCATTTGATTGAGAAATGCAGAAAAAGGTCAAAATTAAGGTATTATTTGTTTTGTGTTTTAAATTATCAGCTGATTATTCTTTGGGTATGTTTAAAAAAACCTGGCTTGTCTACAATCAAAAACATGCCACCTTATACCTCTCTGAGAACTCCTTTATAAGGAAAGGTGCATTTGTAAGTCCTCTAAACCAACTTGGCTTGCCTTGAAACACAGCATGCCATTTAGGATGCTGAGTAGTGATGGAAACATTGTAGTGTGTGATGGGAACATCCTCTCGCTTCAGTAGGCATCTGGGAGGGTTGGGGTTAGCCTGAGGGTGACTCCAATTTAAAGCTTTGTGAAGCTAAGAAATGAAAAGCTAAGTGCACACATTAGTCCATGTGATGGGAGGAGCTGAGGTAAGATTTGGGGAGAGCTGCTTGAGGCTGGCCATGTGGGTCTGGCTGCAAGGGTGCACAGGACAAGGTGCTGGGCACCTTAAGCCTCACTGAGGAAATGGGATTCTGCTGGCTTTATAGGTTCAGGACACAAGAGCACTGTGTGGCAAATAGGTTAGATATTAGGAAATATCTAAAACATCTGCATCCAGAATGTCTTCCCTGGAATGTGATTCCCAGGGCAGTGGTCACAGCATCAAGCCTGCCAGAGTTCCAGAAGCATTTGGACAATGCTTTTAGGCCCATGATGTGACTCTTGGGGCGGTCCTTGGCAGGGCCAGGAGTTTGATTTCGATGATCCTTGTAGGTCCCTTCCAGCTCAGGATATTCTATGATTCTAAGTGCCTGGCTGCTAGTAACTTTACTGGGGGCTTCAGGAAATGAAAAAAGATTGAGCTGGCAGCTGGAGGAGAATGCCTTTACAGAAGCAGCAGTCATTCTGCACTAAATCCAGTCACCATTAATTTTTACATATTGTTTCAGGTAGGGTCAGACCCATTGTATTTTTACTATTTGCATCAAATATGTTTCTTTTAAATATTACCAGTTTTTCTTCATATTAGCTTGGAAATAAGTTTCTGATTAAACAAGTTTTTTTTTCTATCATTTCAGCCATCCTGGACTTAAACCTCTCTGATTAAGATAGAAACTGATGCAGAGATACTTTCTCATTTGCTTGCCTGTCTGCTTGGAACTTAGCCTTCCTCAGGCCATGTAGATTAGATACTTTCCCTTCCCAGTTGGTCTCCTATTCCCATCACTCATATTTTCCATATGTGTACGTTTACTTTATACCTTCTGTGCACATTCTCCCATCCTCTCTTGTGGCAGCTTTGTTCTGTGTCTTCTTATGAAGAATGAAACTTAGTTTGTAGTATCTTAACCAACTTTTGTTTTAAGATCTTTTGTATTACCTGTGCCTGAACTATAAAAAAACGCTTCCTCATTTTGACCCACCATGGAGCACAAGTGTATGTTCCTGTTAAATCAAGGTTATGGGGCACATATGGAACTTTTGAACCAGTAGAAGATTCTTATCTTCTGCCTACACATTAAAATAAGATTGGCTTTATTCTCAGGTGTGAAACACCTGCAGCTCTTATGTATGAAAGCATTCTGGATTTGAAACATTGATCTACAATCATTTAGGGGAAGTACAAAAGCCAGGGCAGGAAAAGCTATGAAATTCTAACTCCATTGTATGTAATCAGTTGTGTAGCCTCTGAAATGTCTATACTTGGGTTTTGTTTGAATTTGAACTGAAAACCAGCTCAGAGTGAAGGATCCATGTTTTTACAATGTAGAAGGTGGGGCAATGTATTTTCTGCCTCTAGAGTGTAACAAGAGAGGATACACAGTATTAAATTAAACCCTTTTAACAAGAGAGAATGCCTTCTCTCTGACTAGCTTTTTCTCAAAAGATCATAGCATAGCTTGGCAACTTGACAGGCATAAGATCTTTCCTTCAAAAACACTTCCTGAACTTGTGGAGCTGTTGCTTACTGCCTGTATGCTTCTCTTAGAAAAATAAAAAAATCACCTATCCTTGATATTCTTATGAAGTGACTTCATATCTTACCTTTTAACCCCTTGGTTTTTCTCCTCACCTCTGTACTTCCCACCATGTCACTTACTCATGTATCCCATTAAAGTGTAATCTGTGGGTAGGGCAAAAGCTGTGACTAGGGAGGGAGAGAAGCACACATTCTAAATTTTATCAGGTAGCTCAGAGGTGCCCTCAGGTAATTCAAACTTACATTCTTTAGAAAGCGAAAGCACACAAAGCTAAGGTGCACTCTAGCCCTGGGACAGAGGAATTAAGCATGTGTGTGTGACATGAGGAAGGTGGGTGGCAAAGAGCTGACTCATCCTTTTGCTGTAGACTGCTCTTTTAATTCAAACATAGAGAAAGCAGAGGCTGAGCAATGTGATTTTACAAATGTGATTTTAGAGAAGAGGGGCTTGTGATTGGTGAGAGCTTTTTCGTCAAGACCTGAACTTTGAAGGGCTGGAATTAGTGTGTCTTGGCTTTGTGAAATCTAGTTCAGAAGTACTTGGATCCTTGATTATGCAATTTTAAAAGTTTCTGTAAATTCAGTTGAAGTATAGTAGTGAAGATGTGCATGGGTCTCTAGTTACATCATTGTGCTGAAATATGCTGGTCTGGTTTAAGGTAGGAATTACTGGATGGGATTTCAGAACTGGTGGGTATTAATTCACATTTCATTACAGCTAATGAGAATGTTCTCGTTGAATTTGCGGAAATACAGCTGAAGCCAGTGCTGCATGCTACAGTATATCCTGTCCTAGAGTTCTCTAGAATTTGGAAAGTAGAGGCAAATGTCCTTTTCTGAGATATTTTGTAGGGCAAACCTGTCATAATGAAAATTTTTTTTGGAGATTCACAAAATGTGATGCTCACATTGGGCATGGAGGGGAGAAATGAAAAGTCAGTGATACTTGTCTGTCTGTAGTTAGAATTCAGTCTTGCCTGATTAAGAGATGCTAAGAAAAAAATAGGAAATTAGCCTATCTAGACAGTTGAAGGTTTGATTGTATTATGAGGTTTTCCTTCTCCTTCATCTATGCACAATACAAAAATTATAGTGGGAAGTGAAAGCTGCTTCTCTCGAGACATTTTGAATTTGAGTCAAAGACACCTTTTTCTATATAGAGATACACATTAGGTCTTTGTGATTTGTTTGTTATTTGAACTTCTGTCTTTCCCTGATGCTTAAATAAAGAGGAGGAAAGTTGTTTAGGCTGAACACCCTTAATGCCAATGAGATGCTTCCTTTCTTCTATATGTGGCTGCAAATATAATGATGTTTATTATGGGGTGGTTAGTAGAGAACAGAAATACTAAATTATTCTAATCACTGTATCCAAAGATTAAAATACTGAATAAATAAAGGGCGTGTTGAAATATCTTGAACCTAAGCATTAAATTTTTGAGAGGCAGAAAGTTGAATTTAGGACACTCATGCAAAATAAATGAATTAATTTTTTTGGCCATATAAGAAGATTTCAGAGTTTCCTAGTAAAGTATTATTCTTTTTGACTGCTTCTGATTGCAGACTTTTGAAGCCTTTGAAAAGAACTTAAATCCTAAACTCTGTTTAACTGATTTCCTCTATGCACTGTAAGAATGCATCAAATCACAGTGCCTACCAAAGTAACTATCAGGCCTCGGAGACCTACTACAATGAGACTGCTAAATTCACAGTGACTGGAGTAGTGTTCATGAGGGTTGACATTGTTTTGAAGGTTTACTTTTTTTTCCTGTTGCTGATCTATTTGATGTTACACAGGTTATTTGGATCAACTTTTAAATTTTCTGAGCTTACATGAGTGGCTGACAAATGACTAAACCCTCACTGCACGTGAATCCCATATCTTGTGAATTGAGATAAGAGGGAAGAATGGGAATAGGACAGAAAGGAGCTTATCAGAGGAAAATCCTGTTAATGCTCACAGCCGCACGCAAAACATGGTCATTGCATCCCCCTCCTTAATTCTCAAGATGCCTTGGAGCAGCCTGGTATTTTGCACGGTGCTGTTACAAATCCCTCTGCTCACCTGAAAACAGCTGGTTCTACACAACCATCTCATCAACCAACAAATCCAGCACAACCATTTTTGTGCAGGATGTCTGAGTGCCAGAAGCATCAACTGAATTATTCAAGATTCTGATGCTATGCTCTGAATGCAAAGGAGCTGCCAATGTCTTGCTTTGAAGCATATACTACAAACTTCCTCATATCCTTTTTAATAACCCTAAAAGGCTTTGTGCCCAAGGACTTACTAGCTGGGAAAGAAAGTCTCATGCCAAATTTGCATATATGTGCATTATTTTGACTAACATGCGATTTTGGGCACAGGACTTCTCTGTTTCTTTCCCTTCATGAATATATTCAGAATTTGGGTTATCTATTACATGTAAAGATCTATTTTTATCTCTAAAGAGCATCTTGCTGGGTACTTAAGAGGTTGAAACAATCTCCTCCTCTTTCAAGTGTAGATCAGCATTCCAATTACAATCTCAGATATGAGGTTTTAATGGTTTTAAGGGATTAGTAATGGGATATGGAGATTTTTCCTTGCAGCATGTAGATTCATTTAGGGTGCTTTCCTCCAGCAAATAAACTTGTTGTTTGGTGATTTCCACTGAGTTTGTGTTTCAAGAGTGACCCTGTTATGAAAAACAGCCTAAGTTTACACTTTCTTTAGCAAACCCTATGAGAAGACTAAGGATTGAGTTAATGAGGGCAGTTGAATGCCTGGTTTTTTTGAGTTGTTTCATGGAGTCTGTAAGAGAAACCCCAAAACTTACTATTACACAGTACAAAGATGATGTTAGGACCAGCAATGATGTTCAGTTCACAGGCTGCTGTTCTGACACTTTATTATAGAATTAAGTGCTTTTAAATTAGCATTTTAATATAAAATATGTAAGAATAACAGCCATCTTTTAGGCAGTAAATTATTTGTGCATAAGAAAACAGAAGCTTTGTCTCAGAGCTTGGCTAATAAACGAGTTCAAGACTCACTAAGATGTGCTTTGAGTTATGTTCCTGCTGCCATGTTTGAGTGCAGAGTTGTGCACTTTTCCAGGTGATGGAGTTTTACTGCCAGTCCTGTGAGACAGCCATGTGCCGGGAGTGCACCGAGGGAGAGCATGCAGAGCATCCCACGGTACCACTCAAGGATGTGGTGGAGCAACACAAGGCTTCCCTCCAAGTCCAGTTGGATGCTGTCAACAAAAGGTATGGGGACTCCACTGACTGTTTTCCATTTTCAGTTTTATCACTGGCTTCCTGTGCTGACTGGGGTAGATGTTTTAATGTGCTGGTTCCGTGGGTGTTTACCTAGGAAATGGGGATAGTGAGGCTAGCATAAGGACAAAAAATGCATTGGGTGGGATGTACTGAGGGGTTAGCAAAAAGAGCAAAAGATTCCTGTCTGTCTTTTACAAAAGAGAGGCCATTAGAAATGCAAGTGTCGTGCAAAGAAGGGGCATAAAATGCTAAGGAGGAAACTGCTGTCCAGTCATGAATTTAATGATAGCTAACTAAATAATGCTGGTTGTTAAAAAGACAGGTACAAACACTACGGTGGCAAAATGGCTTAAAAAAAAAAAAAGAAAAAGTGGGATAAATCTAGTTATATCTTCTCAAGTAGATATACAGCATAAAGGACAGGATCCAAGGCCTCATTGTTGGCAATGCTTAAAGTCTAATGGATTTGCACAGGGAAGGACTGTGGCTTAGCCTTATTTTATCAGACCAGACCCACTGTGTGGTTATAAAAGGAATGAACTTACTTCTGGGAAATGACCAAATTTAAAGACAGCCTGCTGATGAGAGGGTTTAATCAAAAGATACCAGGGCAAGGGCCAATGTTTAATGACTTTTGAAACCGCAATCTTTGTAATTTAATTCCTCCCTCAGGCTTCCAGAGATTGACTCAGCGCTTCACTTTATATCTGAAATCATACACCAGTTAACCAATCAAAAGGCTAGCATCGTAGATGACATTCATTCCACTTTTGATGAACTCCAGAAGACTTTAAATGTGCGAAAGAGCGTGCTGCTCATGGAGCTGGAAGTGAATTATGGCCTTAAACACAAAGTAAGAGGTATTTTTTGCTTCAGTGAAAAGCTGTTACTTTAATCAGCCAGTTTTTACAAATGATGCAGGACGCCAGTTTGACAAATCGTGTCTGAGATCCATAGAACTTTGTTTTCCCAAAATCAGATGCTGCAGAGCCTTGCTTGTGGGTGCTCAGCCTTATAAGATGACCATGAAGATACAGGCCAAACAGTTTATTCTGAAGAACTGAGTAAGGCTGCCTGTTTTGTCTCAAAGCACTGTTTTCCTTTCCAGTGCTTGGTAACCTATTTCATGTCAGATGTCACCTGTTGGAATACAAAACGATTAGAGGGACATCTCACTTTCTTGGGGGAATGAGGAGAGTAACAAGTTGCAGAGCTGCATTCATTCTTTTACTGCCTATCTGGATGATTGATTCTGGGGGTTTTCCCCCTATATGGTAGACCAAGCTTCAGAGGAAGAAAACAGAAAACTGTACTTTTACAAAGCAAAGCCTGTAACATGGAGGGTAGAGATTTTATTGAGGATTATTAGGTCTGAATCAGGATAATTAAAGAATTTAGTCCTTATTTTCCTGTGCATCAGTTCTCTGCTTTATAAAGAAAGATTTCTCCCTGAAAATTACCATTAAGAGAAAATATCCTCAATAACTGGAGTTTCAAGAGTGCCATTAATGAGCAGCTTGAGCATCTCCAGATGTCTGAAGTGGAGGAATGCTGTGTTTCTGGATGTAGAATAGGCTTGAAAACATCATTAGAAAGGTGCTGAACTGCTGAGCCTGGGGAAATGGAGGATTGCTAACACATGCACAAGATACATACTTTTAGAAACATAGGGAGCCCAAAACCATTGGGGCACAGACTTTATCTCCAGAGCTAAGCAGCAGCTTACAAAAGTTTGAGCATCAATAATGTTAACTTAGATCTCAGATTCATCTAAATGTCTTCAAGATTTCACACTTACTTCCATAGCAAGCAAATATATTCTATATGTGTACAGAGTCTACACAAAATAGAATATGATGTTAAATTATCTTATTATTGTTCAAAGATATTTAAAATAATTTAATAACTGTGAGCATTAGATAATCAAATTTTTATGAAATTGTACATAAGCAGTAAAAGAGGCATCTACCCTGTTTGTATAAAAAAACCCCAACTGAAATTGGATTTTACTTTTGAATGACTAGTAGTCCTACAAAATACAACCATTCTGATCATATACTTTTAAAAAATGAAAAAAATGCAATGGCTACATTTTACAAAGAAAAAGTTGGCAGTTCAGTTTGTTGTCCAATGGACTGAAAGAGTGTAAAATGTAAAATACTCTATGTGCGTTTAAAATAGTATTTATGTTAGGATTTAATATTTTTCATTTTTGTAATGAAAGAAAACTGTCTTGAGAAAGTATTTTAAAAAATAGCTGGAAATGGTCTTTCTTTTAGTTTGTGATCTGTTAGCTGAAGCATATGGAGTTTCATCATCCTGGGACCTTGTTGGCTATGCTCTCTTTTGACTTCTTATGTCTTTGAATGAAGACCAAACAGATTAGAAATGCCTTGTATTGCATCCTGAGACATTTCTATGTGCCTAGAAAAGCAGATGACTTGAAATTTGTTCATTCTAAAAGATTTTATGTTGCTATTACTTTCCTATATCAGTAACACATGAGCCTGGATTTTCTCCAGTGAACTTTCCAAAGTTCAAATCTTTGGAAAATTCAGAAAAAAATACCTTTAGAATTCAGTGTCATTACATAGAATGTCTCAGCAAGGGAAGAATATTTCGTAGCAATACAGCCAGTCTTAAAGTTTACTTTACATTAATTGAAATGTTTCAAAAATATTTACTTTACAATGATGGTCAACAAAATAACTTCTCTAATTCACAGTCATGTCTGTGCCATAGTTCTTCTATGTAGGAAAAACATAGCAACTGTGTGACTGGATACCTTCATTTAGGGATTTTGTCAGTGGAGATGGTGAGGGGCAGCTGCAATGTTATCTTAACTATCATGAATGTCTCTGCTAGGTTGTCATAATTCAGGGATCCATTTCCAATTCATTGCAAAATTGGTTTTTGTTTTAAATCGCTAGCCCTGTTCCCAGCCCACACCTAGCAATTTTGAGGCCAATACTGTTTTAAGGATTTTAGGCTGAGGGCCAGAACTGACCCTATAATAGAAGCTCTTTCATAGTCTTAAATACTGAGTGGCCACTTGCTGCCCACCAATATTTCTAGCTACTCTATCCAACTCTTTCCACTATCCACAACCCATTCTGTATATTTTGCTTTCCTGCCTGCTGAAAGTGAGGAATCAATTTACCTTCTGCTGGGGAGATTTTTCCTTTCCTCACTCATTTAGTTCAGGAATCTCACTTTTCCTCAGGATGGATGAGCATCCAGGTCTTGAGGCCTTCTTGTCCATCTCCATAGAAAATTAACCCCCAGATTCCCTTGTCTCTGAAGAAACAGTATCAAGAAGTTTCTTTCAGCCTCTCTTATTAATGGACCTCATGACTCCAAAATAGCTCTGCTTCTGTGAACATAACTCAGTTCCAGTAATTATCTCATTAACTGTGACTGCTGAGAGTTAGATGGGGCAGGGTTCAAACTTCTACATTTGTTGCTGGGTTTTTGCTCAAAAAATACCAAAACTGAACAACAACAACAAAAACCCAAAACAAAACAGAAAAAAAAACCAAAACAAAAGCAAAAAACCCAAAACCAAACAAGACAAGATATGTGGGGCAATAATTCAATCTAGTGTGACAGTGGGTCTGTAAAGTCTTGAATCCCCAAACCCAGGTATTGTTTTGTGTCGCAGCATTGTATTCCAAATACAGGTTGGCGATCAGTGTGCTACTTCTTCTAAAATGAATGTTTAAATTAAACTGTAAAATAAGACATTATAAATTTGGTGTCTACAAAGACCTTTAGATGCTACATCTTCCTGGGATAGCTAGTAACATGATTTTAATCTGGTGTTTGGTAATGCACACAGGTCCTCCAGGCACAGCTGGATACCTTACTAGAAGGACAGGAAAGCATTAAAAGCTGCAGCAACTTTACAGCCCAAGCCCTCAACCATGGCACTGAAACCGAAGTGCTGCTGGTGAAGAAGCAGATGAGTGACAAGCTGAACGAACTGGCCGAGAGGGACTTCCCGCTGCAGCCCCGAGAAAACGATCAGTTGGACTTCATAGTGGAAACAGAAGGCCTGAAGAAGTCCATTCACAACCTGGGCACTATTTTAACCACCAACGCTGTTGCCTCTGAAACTGTTGCCACCGGTGAGGGACTGAGGCAGACGGTGATCGGACAGCCCATGTCCGTTACCATCACAACCAAGGACAAGGATGGGGAGCTCTGTAAATCTGGGAATGCTTACCTCACTGCTGAACTGAGCACGCCTGATGGGAGCGTGGCGGATGGAGAAATACTTGACAACAAAAACGGCACTTACGAATTTTTGTATACTGTTCAGAAAGAAGGGGACTTCACTTTGTCACTGAGACTTTATGATCAACATATCAAGGGCAGCCCGTTCAAACTTAAAGTGGTCAGGTCAGCAGATGTGTCTCCTACCACTGAAGGGGTTAAGAGACGTGTTAAATCTCCAGGCAGTGGTCATGTGAAGCAGAAAGCTGTGAAAAGACCTGCGAGCATGTACAGCACTGGCAAAAGAAAAGAGAATCCCATTGAAGATGATTTGATCTTCAGAATAGGTAGGTCACTCGGCTGCCTGTTGACATACTTAAAATAGTTCAGGGAAACTGAATGAAACATTTTAGTTATTGTAAGGCTAAAGCTGTGAGTAGAGCAACCTGATAATACCATTAGACCTCCTGACTTTTGTTTATGTGTACATTTTGGAAGTACACACTTCCAAAAATAGTTTGCAGCAAATATTTAATTGGGATATCAGTTGAGAAATGCATACATTTGATTTGGGATATTTTAAAAATTGTTAATATTCATATTGCAAAGCTTTTGGTATGGCTTAAAGTAATTTCAGCTTGTAATTTCAGCTTCTGTATCCCTTGCTTCTAGTGAGCATTTCTGGCTTGACTACCAAATAGTGGTATAGTTTTGTTGGTAGTGGTGCTGTTTGTTAGGTGTTTTTTGTATTTTTTTAAACTACTCTCTCTAACATGCCATAAACTCTAGAAGTCTTAAATGTTTTCCCAGAAGTGCAGAGCCTTTTAGTTCTGTTGTGATGCAACCATGACCATGTGCTTTATTTTTGAGTTCTACCTTCTCCCTTTCTTCACCACTCAAAACAGGAAGATGTATTTCATTAGAACAAGAGCTATGCATGGCTCAGAGCTTTTTCTCCATGAAATCTCTTGGAATGTCCACATTTGGGATATATGGATCACTATTTTATAGAAAAAACAGAGCTGAGAGTAATATTTTGTGTTCAGTTTTCAGCCATTCATTTCATAGAATGACCCTACATAGATATATTCCTCTAGGCTTCTGTGGGCTTATGCCTGCATTGTCTGCAAGGTCACAGGTGTAATGCTCTAGGGTTTTACATTCTTTCAAGTTATGCAAAATTATTGAGACACGTAAAACTTCTGATGTTTTCACAAGGATTGCTTTCATGGAGTTAATTTACTTCCAGTTTCAGCTCACTTTAAAAAATTAAGGTTTGGTTGATTTGTTGATGAGGTAATGTAAAGAGTTTATCACTGTGCTCCAACACTACTGTCTATCTCTGTTTTGAACCCATTGTTGAATTCCTCCAATGGCTCTTGCCAAATCTGGATCTCTATTTCTAGCTGGCTAAGATAAATCTTCTGTTTGGCCTGCCAGAAGCTCGTACAGCTGTGTTGGAGAATCACAGTGTAATATTCCTCTGGGCATCCAAGTCTGTGCAGTGTGCTGTTGTATGTATGCTGATGTACGGGCTTTTATGCACAAGTAAATTGATCAGCTGCTAGCAGGGGATTGTTCTCCTGCTAGTACTAACAAGAGACAGCATTAATGCAACATTAGTGCATTTTGTTCATGGGGATGTGTGCATTGTATCTTCTGCCAATGCTGTGTTATTTGTGGCTTTTAAAATGGCATGTGGATCTCTTCAGACATTCCAAGGTCAAATTACTGACTACACATTCATACATTCATGTAATTTATTATTTACAAGAGCAGAGTATTTTCTGCATTCTCTTTTTCTCTCTCAATAATTTATATCCTGAACTTATTATTCTTTTTAAACAGGTGTAATCTCTAAGAGTGTGTCCATGCAGATCTGCATAGGATGTCCTTAGTCTATACAAATGCCAACAAGAATGATGTTCTTATGATAATCCAGAAAATAATTGTTGCCCAATGGTTTTGCTACCTCTACAACTGCAACTGGTAGGAAGCACTAAAGTGAGAGGGAAGTCTTTCTTTCATTACCCTGCTTTTGTGCCTTACACTCATGCTGAGCAGAGGTGAGGGATGTTCACAGTGTCATTCCACCAGTGCCACTTCCACCTCGCCTGGTAAATCTCTTCCATGTCCTTCAAAGAAGGGTTGAGAGGCATGGTTGTCATCAGCTGCTCTGTCCAGGACCCCATCTTGTGTTCTAGCTCTGCCATGCTGTGCTGTGTGCCTTAGTATTTTTTCCCTTCTGGCACTTTTCATGACTGGGTTCTTTGACACCATTTAGCAGTAGTGGTGCTATTTCCCACTTTAACTGCTTTTTCCTCTTCATTTACTTATATTTAGAATTGGCATCAGATACAGCCAGATGGAGAGTTGGCCCTCTGCTAGAAAGTTCAATTTTCCAATTTTCCTTTTCCTCAGACTGTTTAGTTGTCTGTTCAGTCATGTAACTGAGCATCTAAGTTTAGCTGGTACATTAGCATGTAAAAAAATTGCCTTTAACAGAACTTCTGTCAGCCTCCTTACTAGGTGTGAATGTCATCTTCTGGTCTGTTATAAATGCTGAAAGCAAATAGAAGCCTTACTGTGAATTTATTCCACATTAAAAAAAAAATCACAAACAAGGTCTATGTAATCATAGCTTTAGTGCAGTTTAAAAGCAGCCTTAGAGGGAGTAAAGGGATTCTTGATCGGGCGTTTCACAGAATCACAAAAGAAATAAGGTTGGAAGGGCCCACATTGGGTCACCTGGTCCAGCCTTCCTGCTGTAGAAATAGGAATACCTAGTAATGGGAAAGTAGACTTTCCTTTTCCCGTTTATTAGCTTCAGTCCCTCTGATGCTCATTGTGAGCTCTATGGGGGTGTGATGGTCAGTGTGGAATTTTGCCAGGCCTCCATTGCATTGCATTGCAGTCATACCTGTACTGGACAGGGAGGGCAGAGCTCTCGGTACCACATTGCTGGCAAAGCCCCCAGTTTAGTTCTGATGTGCTGACAACAGACACCTGGCCTGGATTTGGCTCTTGTTATTTGAGGTTTGGCTGCTGTGGCAGCAAAGAATTTCTGATTTGTGCTTACCCCTAGGTTTGTGCACACCTGTCTGTGGTGACAGAGTTTCTGCTGCATGAGCAGGGCTTGGAGGTGGTCTTGGCCAAGCTTTTAGGGAAGATGCTGTGTAAAGCAAATTAACACAAACCCGTCTATCTTCACTACCAACAGTGTGTGGGCATATCTGCCAGAGTTCCTACTGAATTACTCATTCTTCTTTAAAGGTTATAAGCAATGTGCCTTCAACAACAGACTGACTGATTTTAAAACTTAAGGTTATTTGGGAACTTGAATTAGAAAGACTGACATTCATTGTACAGAAAACACATAGGGTTAACAATTCAGTGCAGTTTTACTACAGAGACTTTTGTGCTTCAGTTGCATCTATTATGAGAGGAGATGTCACATCCTCATAATGTGTAAGATTTGACTAAATATCTTTTGGCACTCTGAGGAAAAAAAGAAAGGAAGCTGGGAAAAAAGAAAGCTCCTTGATGCCTGTCTATGCAGTATGTATGTAGACCTTTCCATGCTGTTTAGTTTTGCCCTTTTTTTTTTTTCTGTACCACATAGGAAGGAGTACAAGAAGAATTACTTGAAGTGCTGTAGGCAGGAAAGAAATGGTACCTACACGACAGGTTGTGGCCACTCACAACCTCTTACGTCTTCCCAATAATCTGTAATATTTCTGCAGTTTGATTTTGTCTCTCTGAATCTATTCCCTTCCTGCTGGAGGCACTGACATGTTTTTCTTTGTGTTTTAGGAAGCTGGGGAATCTAGGTTAGCAAGCAGGGGGGTTGTTATTCATATTAGTAAAACTTGGAAATCAAAAAACACTCCTTCTCTTACTATGAGCATCAAAAATATACATTATACAAGTTTGTTCAGATTCCCAGGACCTAAAGAGCAGATTCTTACTACAGTTACGTGATGTTATTTTAACATCTCATGTCAGTGTTAATGGGCTTTTAGATTATTTTTTCTTCTTTTTGGTGAGACTCAGTATAACATCTGTTGCTCAAGAGTAAAAGATTGGAATTATGAAGCATTTTATGTGTGCTAGAATCATCTTGAGCAGAAAATGCACACTTTCTTTGTTGAAAGCTAAATTAATTGGTGTGTGCAGTCTATGCTCAGTAATTCCAGAAGGAATTAGATAGGGTTAAAAACAAATCTGATTATTACCTGTATACAAAAATGATATAAAAGGAGATATTCCACAGGCCACAGATCTGCTTCCCAATAACTGGGTTCAGTCTTCTCCTTTTGAAATCTCTCCTGTTTTTCCCAGTCCCCAGCAGCTTGCAGTAAAATCTGTGTCTTTTCCTCCTTTGTGCCCTGCAGTAGCTCAGAACAGCAGGGAGATAAAGTGGGAAACGATGGGCACAAAAGGTGCAGCCTCTCATCTATTAACCAGGCTGCTTGGGAAACTCTGGAATGAGGCTCCTACTGGTTCCAGCCTTGTGCAATTGAAATGTTGATGCCTCCCTAAGCTAAGGAGAGATGGGTGACTGCCCATGATGGAGAGAAGACAAAATATGAAATGCCGTGATACAGAAGGGTGGTATCTTGCAGTAAGAGATTTGCTGAAGACTCTCTCTTAGGCAGGTATGTTCATAAGGAAGGAATTTCTGCTTACAGAGGGGAGCTGTCATCCTTTGGTATTGCAGAGTCAGTAGCAAAAGCCTGCTTTTCCAGAAGCTGACATGCTTTCCTACAGGCTCTCCTCTCATCATCTGAAATGCTTGTGCTTGGCTTCAGATCTCTGCTGGCATAGTGAATTATTCAAAATGGAAAGTTCAAAGCTATCTGATTTCCTCTTGAACATATATGAGGAAGTAAGCTTTCTTCTGCAGGGGAATTTCTGCCATTGCAGAGGGGACTGTCTAAGGGCCTGTATGCAGATTAGGAGCTAGGTAATAGGTTTAATAGCTGCAAAGTGCTAGTTACAAGGACATTGCATGGAGCTGAATTTCATCTACACCCTGTGCTAATACATTGCTATTTCTTATACTTACTGTGAAACGTGACTATGACATTCCTGGGTAATTTCTTCAGTTTTTCCTTTGATGTATATTTACAAAATTCCACTGAAGAACGCTCTGAGTAACTTTTTATATAGGTGTCTCTTATCTTTAAAAACAAAATTCCTCGACTTTCAAGAACATTTTTCTACGGCTAAAGAGCATACATTCCATAAAGTTTGTGTTAGTTAGTTCCAGATGCTCTAGCTTATGCCTCCTCTTTTCTAACAAATGTTTTCCCTTTACTCTCAGTAGTAAAAGGAATGTTTCTCTCTTTCCATCCATTCTCTTTGGCTAAAAAGCAAGAAGGAAACTTATCATTAGCATATGGTGGAAAAAAAATGCTGCATGCATCCCTCAGGCACTGCTTATTAAAAGAATAAACAGAAATGGCTCAAGTATGGGTAATGTAATTGGTATGTAACTCACTATTCCCTGAATATGTACTTTTCCCTTGCAGTACAAAAACTGAGAAGCATTTGCCTTGTTTAGAGGATGAAGCGGGTGGAGTTGAAGAAAATAAGTCTTGAAACAAAGGAACATTCCTGCAGCATTGAGTGCAGAGAAATTAAATGTTACTTGTTAGCTAGTGACAGGAAATGTGCATCCCACAGCCATCACCACAGAAGAAAGAAGGGTTGTTACAAGCATTCACATCCCTGATGAAAGCTAAATACAAATTAGAGCTGATATATATGCCTTAAATTAAGCGTCACAGTCAGAACAGTTTAATCACTGTGCTCCAGAATATTTTGGACTGACTAAAATTAAATACAAGTTTTTCAGTTAAAACCATATATTGGAACCAATTAATGCCAGATACACAGCCAGTGAATGCTTGTAAAAGTATTTCACCAGGAAAAAGAGCACTGCATCCATGTCTTGGAAAGGACAGCTTCTGGAGTTGGTAGTTGTTTGCTGGGCTTTTTTTTTTGCTTCATTTATTATTAATAACCTTGGAGTCCAAGATCATAGCTAGAGTATTTTCCAAGGACTCCTGAGCCTCCTTTAGAAACAAATCAGGAATTTGCTTCCTGTTCCTGTGTTCCAGGTGTAATTTGGACCAGCCGCTTTGGAGCTGATCTTTACTGAAAGACAGTAATGATGTTGTAGGTTTCAGAAATCACAATTTGCTCTGTGATTCCCCTTGGAATGTCTCAGAACAAACATCTAATGAACCACCTAAGCTTAATGAACTTCAGTGGAAAAATTGACATTTTACAACTCCTTATCTCCTTAAGCCACTGGGCAAAAGACTTACAGTTCTATGTAACACACAAGTGCATTTATGGTTAAAAATGTGTGGGGACACTGCTTTATTAGAACAATCCAAGGTCTTTCCAGAAGCATTCAGTCTCCAGGTGTTGTTCTTCATTGGCTCACAAGTCCCATTCATTCAAAACTAGTTCTTAATCTGAATCTCCCTGCTAAAGGAATCTTTGAAGCCTTTGACTACAAACTATATATAAGGGAATAGGAAACTTCCCTGTCTTGAAACAGCTCCATCCAAAGTGATATGTTCTATCCCACCTTTGTGACTTCACTGAGGAGACTTAGCTAAAACCATGTCATCTGTCCGGGTTCTTATCTTAGCCCCTCTTTGTGTTTTCCCATGTACTCATCCTTTTAGTAGAATAAAAATCTGCAGTTTAAAAAAGTCCATTACTTATGTAAAAACCTTTTACTGCTTCCCTCATGCAAGAGGCAATTTGTGAGCACTGATTTAGGAAGGCTGAAGAGGCAATTAATGTTGATGGGGGCTTGGGTGACACATGATGTAGAGTGAGAAGAGTCCCTTAAACAATCCTGTCTTGTCAGTAGAATTGTCTGTCTGTTACTGAGAGGGTTCTTTGAAGTTGTAGAAGTGAGAAGAACTCTTCAAAATAGAAATCCTTTGATCAGAAATGTAATAATTGCATGTGTTGGCATTTGGGTCCTAACTGATTAGTCCTGTCTAACCTGATTTCTTATGTGCTTTGTGTTCAATTTTAGGCACCAAAGGAAGAAACAAAGGGGAATTTACAAATCTTCAAGGTGTAGCTGCATCTACAAATGGAAAAATATTAATAGCAGACAGTAACAACCAGTGTGTGCAGGTATGAGAATATTTCAGTGTTTTTCTCCTTGCCCCCACACCTCTCCCTTTTTTGTACCCTCAGAAAGACACATTTTGTACAATTCAGTTGATGTAGAAAATACAAGGGAAATGTAATTTATTATCCATTTACTTTCCATCTTCTTGACCTGCAGCTATCTTTTTCAGATCTATACTATATCTAGTATATCATCAGGGTTTATTTCCCTTCCTTATGATGTTTGGCAATGAATGAAAAAAAAAGTTCTGCAATAATCTGGAAAAATGCCCTTCTGTAAATATAATTTTACATTGTAAATTTTATCACTCTCATGTTTTCAAATGTAAATCTAGAGCATGGTGCCACAAATATAATTTTTTAGGAAGTACAAATAGAAAAAAAGCATATAGATATCATTTTCAAGTGGCTTTTAGTCTATTTAACTGATTTCTCTTTCTGATATAATGAAATCTTTTTTGTGGTAGCACCCTGACACCCATTCTTCTGTAAAGAATTGTGAAAATCAAGCTATATTTTTTCTTTTGCTTGCCATGTGTCCTTTTTACCATTACCAATTTGTCATCACTCTCCAGGCTGCCCATGTGGTAGCAATGAACACGGCAGCAGCAGCAGCAGCAGCAGCGTGTCGCTTGCTCTTGTGTGGGAGAACCAGCAAGCCACATGCCATGAGAACTCATTTCCAGGCTTTTTCAAAGAGACAGAATCAAATATTCATCAGCACCCTCATGCTTTGTAATATGCAGCCTCTTCAGAGGAACTTCAGTGTTTAGTTACCTGGCTTGGGGACACAAGGACATATTCCTTTGTTTTCTGCAGACTTAGCACTCGGTGCCTCAGTTTCTTCATTTCTAGTAAGGAAATAATACCATTCCCTCCCTTCTGAGAGAGATATTGTGAAGCTAATTAATGTTTGTGAAGTACTTTGAGTTCACTGAAAAAACAGTGCAGTGAGATTTTCTTTTTTTTGAACTTAGGGTCTTCTAAAATTAGGTATATTACTTTCAAATATGGACTGTGTAAAAGTGGTTCACGTTCCCAGCTCTCTTCCTGATTATAGTGTTGATTAGTGACTTGCTAAAATCTAAGCTCCAAGAAATAGGTGATGGTCATATGTGGACATAATTTTAAAATCCCTGTTTTCTATTACAGATATTTTCCAATGATGGTCAGTTCAAAAGCCGTTTTGGCATACGAGGAAGGTCTCCTGGCCAGCTGCAGCGGCCAACAGGAGTGGCTGTGCATCCCAGTGGTGACATCATTATTGCAGACTATGATAACAAATGGGTTAGCATATTCTCATCAGATGGAAAATTTAAGGTATGAGTTACTATGTGAACTCTCCTGAGCTTTCTCTGTCTTTCAAAGGAATGCAAAGTAACATTATTTTTCAAGAAACTACATAGTTTGGCTGTAGTTTAGTCTAAATTCCATTGTTGTGATGTGACCTGACCCAGCCACATGGTATAATTAATAGGAGGTGATCACAGCAGCAATGCTAATGTTACACCAAGCAGAGACAGCATGTTCCATACTGCGTGCTTAGATGTCTTTCTGTAACTTATGGTCGAGCACAGCAAGTGCCAGCACGGCTAGTTGGACTAGCTCAACAACCTTCATATCATTAGTACTCTGATTGTACAGAAGGGTGTGTGCAGATACATGTGTGCACACAGACACAAAATCTTACAAGGAGTACATGAAGCTCTTGAGTGACATATGGAGGAGAAAAAGAAGGCAGCAGACTGATGATGACTTCCTCTTTTATTCCATACTTCTCAGCAAATATAGTGTATAATTTATGTGTGATCCTGTTGGTAATATAAGCAAGGAAGAGTAACCCGGAGTGTTGTTTCAGTGCTACAGCATAAACAAGAGTGTTCTACCTGGTGTGTTGTGCACTGAAAAAACTGAAAGACAGTAATGATGTTGCAGGTTTCAGAAATCAGAAATTCTAAGGAAACAACTTGATATTTTCATAGCAACTCAGATCCCTTTAATGGGAATAAAATAAGACAGCAGCTACTACACTACATTGATGATTTTTTCCCAACCTGCAACATTTATTTCACTTGGGTTCAGGTGCAGTTCTAGAGAGAATTAAAGATTTCCTTGATTTGGTGCTGTTTTCTGAATGCATGATACCAGGTCTGGTGGTGCACATTAGAGAGAGCCATCTCTGGCAGAGGTTAGCAGTACTCACTGGTCATAGGGATAATAGACCTGGAGGGAAATTTCTACCATAGTTACTTAGTTCTGGAGTCCTGCACTGGGAAGATATGGCCTGTTTGGCTAATCTTCTGGCAGCCTAGTGGCCAAAAAGCTCAGGTTCTGAGCCGCTCATGTGTGCAGCAAGAAATGGCCTTTCTCCAAATAGTCTTTGCAAAGTAGCAAAAGCAAATAGGTAATGGTACTTGCGTAGTCCTCAGTGACCTCCATCTGAGAAACCAGTGCATACCCTTCTAGAAGTATCCAGATCATGTATAGACTTCAAGCTAAAGTAAAAAAATACTAAAATGTAATGCAAGTTTAAAAAAAAAATACAGATTGTTTGCATTTGCAGAGAGGATGTGATTTTAGTTGTCAAGTAATTTTGAAAACGTATAGCTACACAGGAAAACCTTGGTTTTGGCTGAAGTTCTTAAATTAAATGAAAACACCAAAACAAACCCAAAGAAATATGTAATTTAGTTAAGAATCCAAATATTCTGATTATCCTAGGTATGTTTTAAATAATTATTAACATCGTTAATGTGAACTGAACACAGAACATGGAGGGCTTGTTTTCCTGCCTTCTTAAGATATGCTGTAAGTCCAGCATTTTGGATGGTGCCAGCTCTGGAGGAAAAAGCTCTGGAGAAGCCAGAATGCTCTATGTGATATACTACCAGCAGGGAGACAGGTATTGGAAAAAAAGAATTATTAATGTAGTTCCTCTGATGCGAAGCCTAGATTTGTTTTCTGTCAATGTTTTCATTGGATTGCAAAAAATGCAAAAGCTGTGTGATGTTGGCAGTGTTTGCGTGGTTAATACAAATTTATGCATCAGACTTCATAGCTCTTGGGGCTAGAATGATTAAATAAGAGATGCAACATCAATTGTATAAAATACTGTTTTTAGATTGAATGCAATAAGCCATATTTATGAGAGGAAAAATAAATGTTTGTAGAAGTATTTTTTTATACAGAGGGTAGGCATAAGCACATAAGTGCAGGAGCTGGGTGGAGGGCAGGTGGCAGAGCACGTGCGTGGGGACAGCAGGAGCGAGGCAGTGGGAACACTGGGATGGAGACATGGACGGGCACTGGGCACAGGGCCACACTCAGGAGCTCTAATGGGAGTAGGGGGTCCTGTATTGGTGCAGCACTGCTTCAGGGGATCCTGCACAGTGTAGCTGGAGAGCTGGGCTGGGGAGGAGGAGTGCAGGTGGGGTGAGCACAGGGCCTGGGGGAACTGTGGGGGGACACACACGGGGTTGGGAGGTCATGCCCACCAAGGGTGAAGCTGTGATATGGGGATGGTCAGTGCCATGAAGGGATGGGACTTGTATTGGGCATGGTGGTGTAGGACTGGGAGTTGAACTTGGTGATCCTTCCAACTCAGGATATTATTCTGTGATGGGGTTAAATAAAATATAATGGTAGCACAGAACAAATAAAATATAATGGAAGCACAGAACATAGATGTAACAGATCTAGCCTGTGGGAATCTGGGCAAAGCCTTGTAATTTTTTGTGTGTTGGCAGTGGTAATTCTTACAGGGGCCTTGTCAGATTAAATTGGGCAGCACTTGCTAAAATAACAGAGAGAGAGAAAGGGATAACGGCATTTGCCTTCAAAGGACTGTGCCTACAAGTCATTGTGTAATTCCTCTGATGCAGGTGGCCTGCTAGCTGTTAACTCAGCACTCTCAGGGGGCTGTTTAGAGCTTAATATAACTATTTTTGATGTTGTCCCCTTCTTCTGTGTTTACTTATACTCACTCTCCCTTAGCAGAACTTTAATAGTCATGTGAGCCATAAGGCAAATTTCCCTGGAGCCAGGCCCAGGCATGTCCCTGATTACAGCACTGGACTGACTCCCCTTGGCAACCTCCACTGCCAGGCAGAAAAGTGTCACCTTCCTTAGTTCGGGCAGCAACAAAGACAGAGTTCTGTTTTCTCAAGGCTGTAACTTACATAAATGCAGAGGTGGGCAAACTCCAATCTAAGGTTGCACCAAAGTATGAGCTTCTTCACATGAAGAGCTGTACTATCCCGGATGTGATAAAGACTCAGATCGGGTCTTAGGATTTGGGGTTTCTATTTCTGGCTGTGCCACAGATCTCATGGGTGACTATGATCTTCCATTTCACTTCCCAGTGCTTTATTTTCTTCATCTGTAAGAGGTGGATAACAGTGCTGGCTTCCTCTGTCAAGTACTCTGAAATTGCTAAGAAAGCTGTTGCAGCAGATACAGCACTAGGCTAAGGAGAGAAAGCATGGTGAAGCAGCTGTACCAGCTCCTCACCAAGTGGTGTTCAAACCTAATGAAGGAACTGGACAACAGAGCCAAGACAATGATTCCTGTTCCTCTGAGGATTGTTTTCTTTCTAGTCTCGAAGAGCTGCATATATGATGACAAGCTTGTTATCAACCAAACAGGGCTCTGCAAGTCAAGATCAAGTTTAGATAAATGGGAAAAGATTAGAGGAAGTATTTTATATGTCAGACTTCTTCCTTGTCTCACTAGTAGAATTAAGGAAAGAGCTGTCTGAAGCTGGTTCCATGTACCGATGGGAATGGGTAGTATGGTTAAATGGTCACAGTTGAATTTTGACAGTCAGATGAATGATAAATCCACTTATTGTGTGATATTGCAAAGTGTGACAAAGTTGTATCTCCTTAATAGAGAAGTTCTCAAACAGCAAAAGATGGTTTGTTGAAAGTTTTTAATTAATCCCTGACAATCTTGAACCTTTCGGACAGCAACAAGCATGGTAAGGTTAAACTTAGCCCTAATACACTTACTACTACAGTGGAAAAGTATTCATAAATTTTTATGTAGGCTAATCAGGTTTTTTTGGGTTTTGTTTGTTTTTTTTTTTTTTTTTTTTACCTCTAGGAATATCCCCCAGTAGAATATTTTCCAACCTGGTAGGGTGACTTTATAAACACATATTTTAAAACCAGTCTAAATTCCTTAGAGCCTATAAAATAAGGGACATAATGTCCCTGACTGAATTAAATTAAACACATTATTTGTATTAAGGGTTTACATGATTCATTATACTGTATTCATTTCTAATGGAAAAAAAGCCTGAAAGTATTTCCATTCATACACTTAATGAGAGTGACTGAGTTTCATAATGTTCTGCTCTAAATAATCAAACCTATAATTCTAAGAAATTTTCTGAAATAAAAATATATAAAGAATATGTTCAGCCAGATCCAATAATGTGTCATCAGCATATTTTGATCTAAACTGGGAACAGATTTTTAGTAAAAAGCGTTGCAAACTCTAGCCTGGCATACTTTATTGCTGCTTGCAAATTATATTTTAAACCTGGCCCAAGAGTAGTGATTTTTATTACTCTTCTCAGCACTGAGTGCCCATTAATGTAGTATGTGATTTATTTGTTATATTTTTCCATATGTGTTTATATGGGCATTAAGACACTGTACTCATGAGTCTGAGTCATTTTCCTAGGAATCCTGGAAAGATGGTAAGGAGTGGTGCAATGCTCAAGCAGACAACCACATAGGCATCCCAAAGGAAGGAGGGGAATATGATTTAATCACCCCAAAGGAAATACTTCTACAGATTTGCATTTGATTTATGGTTTTGCTGCTTTGTTGTTATGCAAACTGAATACATTTTGTAGGTCTGCTGATATCTTTCCCCTGGTGAACACAAAATAAATTTTAATAGTTTTTCCTGGGGATATTTTAGCATGATTCAATTAGGTAGATTTTGCCTAAATATTTTGCAGTTTCTAACAGTATATGTACATGAACATAAAACTGACACAAGATTATTGCATGTTGGCTAAGCATAGTCTTGCAGCTGCAAGATTTGCTCCCTGGAATTTTCTTTACTGGAGACTGAAAAAAGTTATGTAGTGGCTTAGTAGCAGCCATCCTCAGGGTCCCCAGGTGGCTTTATTTTAGGATCATTCCTATTTTTTACCTGCAACCCCAATCCTACCTAAGAATGTACCATGCAATAGGAGCATGGGACTTACTAAGGATAGGAGAGCTCCTTCTGTTTGCTTTGAAAACATCAGGGACATGAGAAAAATGAGTTAGGCAATGGATTTTCTCAATGCCTTGTAATCTGTCCCACAGCTACTCACCAATTGCAGGAGGGAGGGGAGAGCGGCAGAGAAGTCAGAAGTAGATGTGGTAGTTGTGAACATGGTTTAATGGTAAATACGACAGTGTTAGGTTAATGCTTGGACTCAAGCCTAGAGGTCTTTTCCAACTGAAATTATTCTATGACTCCCAGCATTGCTGGTTCTAGGGGATGATCTGTCTTACTCTGCAAAGGCAGTGAGGTGAAAGATGGCCTTGTTTCATAAATAAGATGAACATCTTAGTATATATTTCATTTAAATTCCAATGCAAACAGAAAAGTATGTTCTTCACCAAGATATGAATTTCACTTTGTAGGATGTGTCTGTCACAAATTACTATAGAATCTGAAAGTTCTGGAACTCATCATTTCAACAAAGCCTCTCTGGTGGACTCTCTGTCCAGTACAGACTTTTGAAACCAGCCTGAATAAGTGCTTTCAAATCTGTCCATCAATTAAAAAAAGATCTGTAAGCAGGATGCAAGTTGCTCCATTCCAACACAAACAATTGAGTATTTACAACCTTTTTAAACTGAAAGGTCAAAAACCAACTGATTTTATGTAGATTAAAACAGTTTCTAGAATCCCAGCCGAAGAAAAAGCTGAATGGTGAAGAATGCAGAATGGATTGTGAGGTAATCCTGAGTCTTCTTGTATATGCCCAGGTAGCTCATGGATTCTTTGAAGGCTTGGTCTCAATTTCTGCTTGCTCTGTTGCTTAGATCCTCTTTTAAGAATCCCTTCCTTTTAAACCTACCAAAGCATGCTTCTGGCATTTTTGGATTTGACAGCTCTCTAGCCTTTCCAAGTAATTTACTGTTATGAGATCAATCTCATCTCCATTGAACGTTTTTCCAGTGAAATACTGTATACAATTCCCCTCCTGTTGCTGATTATGCCGGCAGATGGTTTTGGTAGTCACAAGGCCTATTTAAAATTATGGAAATTATTTTATTTACCTAAGACAGGACAGGAATGAGCTTTCATTTGTTTAGTGTTTCAAAGATTGCTTCATTTGCTGTTTGGCAACATGATCCTCTCCCCTTTGCAGTTTTCAGCCGACACTTCATGAGTCTAAGCAGCAAGTGAAGCAATCTCATGTGGAATCTGGTGGAAGGTAGAGAGGTTAGCCTGAGCTTTAGTTCTGCTCAGATTCTTTCTGAGAGCGCTCAGAAGGTGCTGTTGTCTTACTAACCCAAGAAAGGCAACAGAGGACATCATAGCCTACATCCCACCCAGCCCTGATGCTCCAAGAACTCTGACTTCTTTGATGCAGGCAGTGATAAAGATGTCTCCTGTCCATCAAGGTGGTTGTTGGACTCAGAAACAGCACACAATGGGAGACAGAAGTCCTTTCTGCTTGTCTGCCTATCCTGCTGCTACCCTAATGCTGGATATACAGACATTTCTGACAGGTTTATCAAGTCACACAAATCTGATGACTGTATTTCTTATGAGTTATATATTTGGACTCAGTTGCTGAGGTGGCAGATTTTTCAGTCTAGAAAAGACATACAGAAAGCACACTATTTTCAACTGAAGAAAAAAATCATGAAGTACATGGTAAGAGCTGATAATAACTATTGCTTCCAACTTCTGATGAAGAAAAGCCTCTCTGTTCTACTCTGTGCCTGTAATACAAGCTTTAAACAGTACTAACTAATTTCTATTGTGCCAACATATTTTCCTGTTTTGTGTTTTCCCATTTAGGCCAAAATTGGGTCTGGAAAGCTCATGGGCCCCAAAGGTGTTTCGGTGGATCGTAATGGACACATCATAGTAGTGGACAATAAAGCATGCTGTGTCTTCATCTTCCAGCCAAATGGCAAAATAGTCACCAGGTTCGGAAGTCGAGGAAATGGTGACAAGCAGTTTGCAGGTACACTTGATGGTAATATGTAAATCCCCTTTTCTTGCCTCTTCTGCTCACATTTGCATGATGTTTGAGCATGTTGAAGATGCTGTATCCCACCCCTTTATCCTCCAGGGGAGAGGTTCTGCTAGACATACAGCTCCTATTTGCTTGATTGCTCAGGCAGACTGCAACATCTGTTCTGCTAATGTAACTGTAACCAGATTTCTTCATCTACCTCCCTATGCCTGGAAACATTTCAGATCAGTGACCCAAGAAAGACTGATCTTAACTAGCATTTTATAAGTGCTTTGTAATTGCCACACTAAGCTGTTCAGCACAATCAACTCAGATGCTGTGCTTTGTGTTTCCAATCATGAGACAAACCCCAATGCCCTAAGTGGTAACTCTTAGAAAATGAGTGTAATGGGGTAGTGTTAAGATTGAGATCAGGAAGGCAGAGTTATGGAACAGCCAGTGTAAGTTTGGGGAAATTGCCATTTATACTCAACTGACTGCTTGCACATGCTGTCTTTCAAGTAGAACATGCATTTAGGTTTAAAAAACAGAACAACCCCATTGATATATTTTAAGTGAATAGGCATTCTTTCAAAATTTGAAATGAAGGTGCCAAATTAGGTATGCAGGTCATTTTACAGGTGTTGGGTCATTTTTAGTATGTAGGTTCATTGGTCTGATGTTTTGACTGGTTCACAGTGAAAGGCAGGAATAACATCAATGTGTTTTTATCCTAAGATCTCTTGCAATGTGTTATGGCATAATATATATAATTTATGAGAGCTTGTGCTCTAACACAGCTAAATTTTCTGGGTATCTCAATTTCTTTTCATTCGAAAATTTGCAAAAACATGTCCTGAAAATAAGTAGGCAAATACTTTCTGACAGTGCATTTGAGAAATACATCACCTCTTCTTGCTGATAGGCTACAGAAAACAGGTAAGTTGTCAATAATTTAATGTTTTCATTGCAAAATTTTTCACTTTTGTTATAGTTTACCCTGATATACTGTGAAAACTGAAACTGAGTTTTGTTCTCTTTAATAACTCAAAATAGCGCCAAGTGTTTTAATTTGGGTACTTGCCTGTTTTCAAACTACCATTTGTTTTTTACTCAAATTTGCACACATATCTCAATATACAATCTAAAGCAAAAAATGCCCTTTTTTTCCCTGACAGTGGTCTTCTAAGTAACTTTTTTATTTATCCTAAAACTTGTTAGCTCAAATGCTTGCAAGATGTGAGCACACAGAGCATAAAATACTTCAATTAAGAATTTACAGGAACGTTTCTGATAACAATTTTCAGTGTATGCACAACTTTACGCTTAAGCACTTCATGTTTTGTCTTGTTAATAAGCCCATAAATCTCTGCATAGTCATATGTATACAAGAGAGGGAGAAATCAACAATGCTTATTGGGAACAATAACAACTGACAACTGGTTGAAAAAGAAATTATTTGTGTTTACAAAAAGCATGCTGAGCTTTTAAAGAAACCATGAAGTAAAATTACTCTGAATTTGAAATTGGTATTCCCACTTGTACTACCGTTGCTCAGAGGCCAAACATAATATGCTGGCAGGCTGATTTTTTTTTTAATTTACCCATACTTTTTATTTTAATGGTACTACTATTTTTTTCTTCTTTTTCTGCATTGCAGGTCCTCATTTTGCAGCTGTAAACAGCAACAATGAAATTATCATTACAGATTTTCATAACCATTCTGTCAAGGTACTGTCAATGGCAACGTGGAAAGTTGCCACTTTAATTTTATTATGATATTTTTTGGGGGAAAGAACATATTGTTAAAACCAAAGAGATCACATTCCATATAAGGAGTGTGATATAGCTCTGCTATAGAGACAGCATTTTCAGAGAACTCTGCATGCAGTGCATAACTTAGTGAAGATATGGTCCATTGCCTTTGGTGTCACTATAATGGTGTCTAACACAATTGCTTAAACATAGGTTGTATCTGAAATGAATAATTTCAACTTTACTTAATTTTAGTAGCCCTCTGCCAAACGTGTTAATGACCCTGTGTTCTGTCTTTTAAAAGTCTGGCTTTTGAATTTCCCAGTAAAAGCTTTCCACAGTTCTAGTTGTAAAATTATAGCAAAGTAAAGATACATTACAGTCTTTAAATTCCATACTTATAAGCTTTAAGATTACTGGACCCATTTTACAACCTGATTCTCTTAAAACCCATGTTTCTATTGGTCTTCATTCAGTGCCTCCTGCACTGGGCCAAACTGGCCACTAGTCTGTACACCCATGGCAATTCCTGACTCTCAGCCTGTTGAAGTCATGGTATGATAGGAAGTTTGTTTGTTTGTCCCAGTAATAAACCAGACCAAGGAAACATGCTGAGTTGTGTTGGCAAATGTCTATGAAGGAGAAACAGGCCACTTCAGAAATGCCTCACCTGTGTGTGATTGTTCTCAGGCATTCCCTTTCCCACACTTCCTGCGTGTGCTCTTGTGCCCTCCCTCTACAGGAGAGAGCAGCAGGAGGACAGAGGCAGGATGCTGTTCTACCTGGGCTCTCAGGACATGTGTGTCAGTCCCACACCCCAACAAAATAAAGTCCCTGGCATTTCATCTAATGCCTATTTTGACTGAACATAAAGTTGAACCCTCAGTCTAGTTCTTCACTATTTCTAATTGAAAAAATAAATGTTATGTATTCACCTGAAATTGGAGGTTGCTGCCTGAGCATAGACACCTTTGTGTCCTGAGCAGTGCTGAATCACCGAGGTCTGGAATAGCAGCCTTGCTTGCGCATCCTTTTGCAATTGGTGAGGAAGCAGCAGCTCGTGGTTTGGATTACAACACAAAAACCAAGACTGCTGCAGGAGCCCTAAAGCAGCAGGAGGCCTGTGACTCCATAAATTACCTCTCCACAAGCAAGGTTTGCCTGGTAACAAGAATGCCTGGAGAGGCTTAACAGCAAGGGGCAAACTGAAATGAAAAAAAGAAAGTGAAGAAATGTAAGAAGTGTGGCATCCTAGAGGATTTATAATTATTACATTGCTAATGAGAACAGAGTGTCCCATCTGTGTGTGACTCAATGGGATACAAATGTTACTTGTTACAATTTGGTACTAACCAGAAAAGATTCTTATTTCTGTAGTGTTCTCTAAATTGGTACATATAACTGTTGACACTCTGGAGAGTTTATAAGCTGACAGCAGAGAGTACATCTTCTTTTAAATAATAAATTATAAATAACTAAATAAATTAATTTCACTCTTATGAGTCCCAAAAGCTGCTTTCTGCCACCAGTGTATTGAATTAAACAAGCTCACTCAGCAACATTTTTCTCTTGTCCCCATTAACCTTCAAGGATGTTCCTTCCCTCAGGCATCTTTTATGGAAAATCCTGTGCAATGTAGGCTTCTCTCTCATTTGGTCACTTTAGCCCAGGGAGAGAGCAATATATCTTTGTCTATTTTTTCATTAGTTGGCTTTTTTTTATTATTATTTTCTTTAATCCTCTGAGGCACTAACTTGGTACTTCATTAATTTCCTCCCCCAAAATGTTTTTTACTCTGTTCACTGTGGGTGTTTGACCACACAATAATTCCCTGACATCTTCCACCTTATCAGCACTTCAGTGTACGCTTGGCACTTGTCAGGTCTTTGCATTTTCTTGTGCAAGCCACAGTCAGTCTCTAAGAACTCAGTTGGGCCTTGTGCTGTAGCTGGGCCTGGATCCAAAATGGATAAAAATATTTTAGAGATTGCTGTGGATGGTGTAAATGACACATTTTGTATCTTGTTTGGTCCCATTGGTGCATCCAGGTCACTGACAGAATAGTCATTGATCAGCTCCATCTTTCTGCTGTCTAAACCTGTTACCATCACAGAGAATTCAGTTGCTGACCTGTCTGCAGAGAGCAGCATGCCATCATTTGCAATGTGTGTTAGATTATGGAAGCAGAGAAGAGAGCATCTGCTCCATTGTGTTTTAGTTCCAAAGAAACAAAGCACCCAGTGCTGCATCTGCATTCAGCTCTTTTCAGTTCAAGATGCACAAGCTGCAGAAGAATTCTGGGGCCCTTTGCCTCCATGGCTGAGATGACTCAGATCTTATAATTCTTGATACCATGCCATATTTAGGTTGTTGTTTTAACCCATACAGGTCTTTAACCAGGAAGGAGAGTTCATGCTGAAGTTTGGATCAAATGGAGAAGGAAATGGGCAATTTAATGCACCAACTGGAGTAGCAGTAGATTCTAATGGAAATATTATCGTAGCAGATTGGGGAAACAGCCGAATACAGGTAAAATTTCTGTATTTCAAAGGTGCTTGATTAAAAAAACTAATGGGTTGCTAACTCTGGCCTTCAGACTGCCCAAGAAACACCATCAGCATTAGAAGTGATGTGGTTTCTCACACCATCCTTTATATGCCTCATTGTCCAGTTTCAGACCTGGTGGTGTTACATTGTGAGCTTTTCAGTGTGGCTGCTGGCAGCTCTGATGGCCATGGGGATCAAGGATTTTGGTGCCAAGTAGTTCCCCAAAAGTTTCTTGATGACTTAGGAGACTTGCAAGCATTGCTGAGATTATAGTAATTTATAATCACCATAACAGAAGATCAGAGACATAGTGGAAAATATGAAAAAGCAAATGAGCTGAATGCAGCAGATCTTTATCATGTTTTTTAAACGTTGAGAAATTATTCTGCTTCCAAGTTATGAGAGTTGCAGTCTTTTTATCTTTTAAGTGCTAATCATAAGGTCTTCCTGTTTGCCAAAGAATACCTAATAAATAAGTGTATGTATTATTTCCACTGAATATAAAACTGAGGGAGCTGCTTATGAGTTGTTCTCAGGAAGCACTCTCAACAGGGTAAACAAATTCCTGGTTTTCTCTGTGTGGGAACCTAAGAATCAGGCTAGCTGCAACAGTGATATATGTTAGGAAAACAAGGTGTTGGTTGAGTTCCCAATTAAGTTTGATTTATTGTAGTTGACTATTTTTAGAACAGGAACAGCTGAGGTTCTTATTATTTAATACTATTCTTTTATTGTGTGTTAAATCTTGCCAAATATCCTGGTGGCTATAATTAGTTCTTTTTAATAACAACACACATTTGTATATAAACTTGCATATTATGAGATAACAGAACAGATTTTGCCCTTGTTTATTCTATTGTATGTCCACTGTTTCAGAAATTAGAAGTATAATAGTATAAGAGAGACTTATAAGAGAGCAGACTACTTTGTGTCCACTACTTTCCTTTTTTATTCATAACATTTATTCTGTGCTTTCTCACCCTCAAAGGTTTTTGATGGAAGTGGATCATTTTTATCCTACATTAACACCTCTGCTGACCCCCTTTATGGTCCCCAAGGTCTGGCTCTTACTTCGGATGGCCACGTTGTAGTTGCAGACTCTGGAAATCACTGCTTCAAGGTCTACCGATACTTACAGTAGCAACGAGCTCTGGAGCTGGATAATCACTCACCCTTAAGAAAAGACTTGTCCTAGAGATCCAGTGCCGGATATCTCCTATTTTGTGTTTATTTTTAATAACAAAGGAGTCTCTTATGGACTTCTTGTGATTATTTCCAATCTTACCTTGTTTACATAGGACTTGCAACTCTTATGTTTCTCACTGAACTTTTTCTTGTGTTAATAAAAAAAAATCCTCTGTAACTGAATTCATAAAGACAATGTGAAATTAAACACAAACTGCATCCTGTGAAACTGGAATTAACTAATAAGGCAAAAATGAGAAGTTTGGGAAAAGTCCCCAAAGCTTTTTGATGACTGCGAAGGATAGCTCCTGCTCAGATTTAAAGAAGTATCATTCTTACACGTTATTTAACCCGGGGGTGACTCTGGGAATCTTCTAGATCTCATTATCATGGTAGGTATTACACTTCTAACATTCTTCAGTCTTACTGTGTAGAACAAGTAGGTCCTTTTACTATAAGGTTAAATCTCACAAAATCCATCTAGCTCTAACCGTCAACACAGCTCAGTGTTTAGCACTATGAGAACCAATGCAAATTCCCTACTCATGTGGAATTAATGAAGGATTGTTTCGTGCGGCCGTTGTTCACTCTTCCTCTTGCTCAATGTGCAGGAAGGACTTTGCAGAGACCTGACATTTCTAAAGCTCTGGAAAAACTTAATTGTAGCGATACATTAGTGGAAGAGGAATTTTCTGTATAACCACAGACCTTCTGACACCAAACTAGTTCATTAGGATCAGGGTTATTACAATGTCAAGTCAATTAACCTAATGTGTGCCACTCTTTCGTACGTGTTCATTGCCATGTTTCCTTACGGCAACTCATTGTATTAACCTCTAAAATAAGATGCAGCTTCACACAGGACAGAAAGCCAGAGAAGTACCCTGTGGAGGACCTATGTTATACAACCAAAGGAACTGTGGTAAACAGAGGTTGTATAGGAAAGCCAAGGGTTACCAAAGCTATTTGTTTTTATGTGAGAAAAAATACGTTACAAATAAAAATGAATTTGAACCAATTCCTGAAGTCCTTCATCAAAGGGAATTTTGTTAGAGGACAAAACAAGGACTGTGAGATTTGTTCCAATTTGTTTGTATGTATGTATGTATGTATGACTGATTGACGTAAAAATTAAAAAAAGGTAAATGTGGGTTATTTCAGCAAACTGGAACGTATGTATGATATTTGACAATGGCAGTACTCTGAAAAATGACCTTTCTTCCTCTGCCAGATCTCTCTACTGTGTTCTTTGTTGAAGTATTAATTTAACTGGAAATGCTTACAGGCATGGTTCTGTTTTTAATGTTTGGTTTGTTGGGGGTTTTTAAAGTATGACCTTGTCCTTTCTAAAGTAGCATTGGCTTTATTCTTATTTCTATATCCAGTGGTCAAAGGTTGAATTGCTACTGTAGCCTGATATAGATAGAGTGGTGCTCCCTTTCAAGTGTTGCCTGAGGAGCTGCCAATGCCTGCAATAGCCTGGGAAGTGCTGTCTTTCCTTTCTCATTTTTAGGGCCTTGAAACAAAAGGGCATTGGGTCAGAAACAAGGGAGTATTTTAAGCATGTTTGCAAAATGGAAAGAAATCTTTGATAAAATTTCTTGTTATAAGTATTTGTCTTATTTCTAAAATGTAAGGTGGTTGTTTCGATAAATTTGAGAAAAACGAATGGTTTTTTTTCTAAACTTGCATTTGACTTGTAAAAATGCAGACCCCAAGGTTCTTAAATGGGGGGTTTGTCTGGTTTTTAATTACTGTTTCCTGAAGATATTTCCTCTTCTTTCCTTTGTTTATTTTTTGCACATAGAATCAATTTAAAATTTCTCGTGCAAATACAAGTTTCTTTATTTCATTGGAATAAATATTTTGTGCATGAAGCTTAAGGACTGTATAACGAAGCTGAGAAACCGGTGGTAACATTTATGAATATTAAAACTCACATTTGTTATTACTAAGAGAACAAAATATCCTCTGCTTGAACTGAGTTTGTCCTAAAATTCTGAAGATGGTATCTCAGTCATTACAAATAAACTGTCCTATCAAAATTTAACAAAGCTGTAGATCAAAATTTCATTCTAAGTGTCCTTATAACACTTTCTGACATTGGAAGACCCTTAAATAGCACATCAGTGAAGAAAAGGCATTTGAACTGTATTTAGTAATAAAGAGAAGGGGTTGCGATAAAGGGATTGAGATGAAAACTTTTAAAAATGTGCTGTGGCTGTCAGTTATCACACTTAGTTCTGAATATGGATTTTTAGAATACAATTTTACTAAGCTTACATGTTTACCCCTCAGAAAACATTGCCAAAACCTCTGTTGTCAGGTACTTTGAGAAGCATGACAATCAGATCCTAACCCATATAGCAAAATAGATACTTAAGACTGTGCTATTTCATGTATACACTTTCCTTCAAAAGCTTTTCAGTCCTTTGGTCCAGCATTGCTTAGCAGGATTTTAGATAACCCTTGTGAACCCAGTGCATCCTGATGAAATAAGTGAATTCTGCACATAACCCTCCTCACAACACAGCTCAAAGCTATTAGGAGTTTTGTGGATTTTTTCTTAAAATTGAGTAGTTTTTTGGATTTTCAGACATTATCAGCAGAGCAGCACCTAAAGAATGTCATGAATTTGAAGTTATTTCTGATAGCAAATGCTGTCAACTTCAAATTTAGTGGCATAGGACATTCCCTTCCAAGGTCTGACCTTATCTGCCTGGCACCGGGAAACTGAGAAACACATTGCTTTTACGGTGCTTCTAAGCCAATTTCGCTAAAATGCTTGGCTTACAAACCTTACAAAGACCAACCAAAGCAGAAATTCTGCACTTAAAAGCTGGCAGACTTTTTTTCTCATCCAATTAAGGGAAGGTCAGAATTGCACTATGTGATTTGCTGAGTTGTTAGCATTTATTGAAGGCTTTACAGGCATGCTGCTGCCAGATTTCAGGTATAACCAAATGTCCCCTTGACTTCCCTGGAATGCTAATTGAGTAGCAGCACAGCATGAATGGTGAAAATATGTGCTTCATTTAGCAAATCTTCAACTCAAAAGTAATCTCAAAAGGTTATTAGATCTTGTGTCATATAGAGCATTTTAGGACAAACTAGCCAACTGTATTTTCATTGTTCAGTGAATAGAATAAAAAGATCTGTTCAGATAAATCCAACATAAACAATAGGAGAGTTTTGCATAGGCTAAACCAGCACCAATGTACTGAAAAATAAAAAGAAAATGGTTTAGGCAAGCAATTGCCTCATGAAGATGGAGTGCTACTTATTAGTAAATGCTCATCTGTTCCATAAAAGCTAGAGGGTTTTTGATTTTATGTCAATATTTTTTATAATAAGGATCTAGTGTTGCCATAATGAGAACTATAAGTGCCCAATAAGTTGTGTTTGTTATAAAGAAATGACCTTCAGTTGTGGGAGACAGCTTGTTATGAAATCATGATGTAAAGTCAAACTTTTCTTCAAGAATTCAAGCAGCGATTGTCTGACCTGTTTGTAGAAAGTGTACAAAAGGCATTTGTACTATGGAGTGGCAAGGTTCCTAACAGGTCATTGTATTTCTGACGAATGTACAGCACTTCAGTCGATGTTTGTGAGCAACACAGCCTTAACCCTGACACTTTTTCTTTGACTTTATGACACAGGAATGTTCCCTAAGTTATGCGGTGTATGGCAGCAGCCCCTGATAGAAATCTCTACCAGCTGATATGCTGCAGCTTTCCAGTTCTAGGAGTGTTTCCAGTTCTTTTTTCCGTGTTTTTTTAAAACGTTTTTGTACATTCCATCTTTGTAATATATGTTTTGTGTATATGTAAGCCTTGTACTCTCTTGACACTCATAATGAAATATTCTTCTCACATGTTTTTTTTGTGGTCGATGATGATGTTTTTGTTTGTGTTTTTTTTAATCCCTATGATGCTAAATACAGACTTTTTCTCCTTAAGGTCAAGGATGAAAGATGCACATCAAAGTGTTTGTGTGTGCGTGCGTGCGTGCGCGCGCGTGTGTGTGTGTGTAGTTTTAGCTTCCTGTGTGCCATGGTATTCATAATGCTTTAGCTGACAAAAAAAATTACTCTGTCTTGGAAATGTAGGAAAACCAGAGTCAAATGTGTACCTTTACCACGCACAAAAATTTCAAATAATAAAAATAAAGCTTGTTTCCTCTGTTATTTTCATGGTTGAGGATTTATTTTTCATATGTCTCATGATCACTTGTCCCTAAAAGTAACCCCATAATGCAGGAAGCCAGGTAATTTTTTTCCAGTTTTCTTCCCTGACACCACAGGTCACAAGCTAAGGAAACTGATTTTTTCATGGGTGTTAAATTTTTTATGTTGACACAGAGGAAAGATGGACTTGAGTTGTTCTTGAGAAGAAGGTGCAGAGTTGGAACTTCCTTGTTCCTCTCTTCCTTCCTCAGTACAGAAATCAAAATTAAGATTTTCATTGGTGGCAGTAAGATTAAGAGCTGTAAGCTTTTCTGCTTGCATCACAGAAGTACACAGTATCTTTTAGCTGAGGTGTGATATAATCTTTCAACAGTCTGTTGCAGAAAACCAAATTAAATTGTCGTGGAGAACAGAAAATTTGCCTTTGGAGTTCAGTCTTACTCTGTTCCTGTAAGAACAAATTTCCAGCTTGTATTAACTTCAGTTTCACATAGTACCTATGTCTTCTTGGTCACTGGTGAACTCTCCAAACTGGAATAATTTGAGAACTCAGTGTGACTGGGAACTTGCTCACGAAGTAAGACAGAATCTTCAGATGCATCATTTGGCTTGGATGCAGCCTCAATGGAGGGGACTAGCAGGGTCGGTGAAACCCCCAGTGATGAGTGTTTGCTCAGTGGCAGGACAGCCAGAAATGAGACAGCTGAAATACTGAGCAGCTGTCCATTTTTGTGGCTCTTTCCCCCAAACCCTCTAGAGGAATATGTGTTTTATTCTTTCTTGCAAGTCACAGGGAGTGTCAGCAGCCATGTTTCGAGGCCTCATTTTTCTCCTAAAGACAAACTTAGTACAATGTAATGGATCAGTTTTGGTTTTCTGTCAATCTCCAGATGAATACATGCTCATAGACTCTTGGTGCTGAATGTACTTGTCTATCTGTCCTGAAATTCAGATGATTACCAAAGGCTTTATTTGTTTGCCAGCTAAAAGAACATCACATCTTGAAGCCGAGCAGTGTTGGATTGACATTCAGAGTTGCAGAGCACTTGTTCCTTCCCATGTAAAAAAAGATTATGAAGAAAAGAAGCAATAGCACAGGATTTCCTGAAACCAGTGGGCTTAGTAGGTAAGATGCTTGTTACATTCCAAATCTTTTCTTATTGATAGGCTAGAAATGTTTTCTGTTCCCTGGATTACTACAGCAGAGGCTCTTCATCACTGAGCAAAATCAGACAGACAGGCTGAACACTAATACCAGAGAACACTTTTGTTTACCAGAAAATATCTGCAGTAAATGACCAACTTCCTCTTTGACCCTCTTGTGGTACTTATTAAAATACCTACATGAGGCAGGAGAATCTTTCAGGAGTTCTGTAAATAGGACTAGAGAATCCAGTCTCACCAACGAGTAACAATGTCGGGGAGAACAGGGCCAAAGTAGCTAAAGGAGCAGGTACTTTGGGCAGCCACCCTTAGCCACTCTCTTTAGAGTGGTACCCCTTAACATACCACTGCACATGCAAAAACGTTTCCTTGTTCCTTAGCCTGACATTCTCTCACCTCCAGCTGTGCTGCTCTGCAGTTAACTCCCCCCACAGTTTTACTGACAGTTCATGTGAATGCTCCCTAATTTGGACCAGACTGAACTATCTCAGTGGAGTGGAACAGTCAATGTCATTTCTGTGGACAGATGTTCTCCCTAGGCAGACCCCAGCTGTGGTGGTAGAGGAGATACCCAGCACTTGCTGCTCATTGCTACATGCAGTTGAAGGCTGCTGCCCTCAGGTTTGTTCTGAGCTAGGCACATGAATGCCTTGTTCCTTCAGAGAAATGCCTTGTGACCAAAATCCTATTGTTTGAGCTACTTGCCTCAAGGATAATCGTAACGCTCACTTCTGCCTAGCAAAGTTGTAGGAGCAGTAACTTTTGGGGGAGGGCCAGCTAGCATTTCTCACCAAGGGTTTTTCACTCAAGGGTTAAATGTTTGTAGGGAGAACATCTGCTTACAGTCCAAAAGCTCATTCAAGGATGAAATGAGGCAGCAGATGCTGCAGACTGGCCTGTATGGGATACTCATGGATCATATTGCTTCCGGATGTGTGGCCATGGCCCATGATAGACTGCTTGGACCCCAGAGTCACCCCCCAGGGGTGAGCATCTCCTTGTCCTGCAAGCTCTACTGCTCTCAGTCAGACAGGTGCTGTGGGAGGCAGCCACAGGATTCCACAGGACTTGCTCTTACCCTTCTAGAAATAAACTGATCTGCTATT